CCAGGTTGCAGAGAGCCCATTGGTTGAATTACCTTATTTATAGCTCTCAGGTCTGTCAGCATTCTCCACTTACCTGACTTCTTTTTGATGACAAAGACAGGAGAATTCCAAGGACTGGTAGATTCCTCTATGTGTCCAGCATCTAGCTGTTCCTGTACTAACTTTTCTAAAGCCTCTAGCTTCTCAGAGGTCATAGGCCATTGTCCTACCCAAACTGGTTCATCTGTAAGCCACTTCAGTGACAGGGCCTTTGGCTCCTCTGAAGGTCCGTCATTTGTACCGAGTTTCTCTACAGCCTGGATGGTTGGTAACCATTTTCCATAGCATCTTACCAGATTTTTTCTAGTATCTAAAGATTGTACATAATTTGTATCCGACATTGGAGGAATATTAATCTGAGTATTCCATTGCTGTAAGAGATCACGAGATTTATAGCTATATCTGCCACGTATGGTTTCAGTATCCCTTTCTGTCCTTCCGGTCCAATGCAGACCACTGAGTTAACACTCTGTCGCACCCTTGTCGAACTCTAGATAGAGTTCCAATTCCTAAAAATTGTACATTTGCCTCTCTAAGAGGCCATTTCTGAGGCCAAGACTTTTGAGTAATAATAGTTAGATCCGCCCCAGTGTCCACTAAGCCAGAAATAACTTTATTATTAATTTTAACTTTTAACTGAGGCCTTTTATCATTAATAGAAGCTTGCCAAAATATGCGTTTCTCATTTTGTCCATTCACACTTGATTCTTCATCACTATTCAAACTACCATCTAGAGCACTATCTTTTTTCACAATATGCAAAGAACTGTCTATTGTTCCTGTGAGAGATTGTCTTCCACTGCTCTTGGGAATGACCTGACCTTTTTCGATGTGGGGGCCTTCTTGAGGCTACCCTCGGGGTTTCCCGACCTTAAGGGGTTTCCTTGTATGTCCCTTGTTGATCTACATTCATTGGTCCAGTGTCTGCCCTTACCACATCTTCTACACAATCCAGAAGGCAGTGGCCTTCCATATGAGGCATTGTTAGAATTCATTTGTCTACAATTTCTCTTAGTATGTCCCATTTTACCACAGTTGAAACATCTAGGTTCCTGGTGCCTTCATGGTCTCCAGAGGAAGGCTCTTCCTACCCAAGGTTCTGGTTCACAGTAGTAATAACCTCTGGCCTCTTGGTATCTATGTTGACCTCTCTAAGGTGCTTCTCCTTCCCAAGCCCTTGCATCCTCACCTCTAGAACTTTTAATCTCCTGTTGTCTTTTTAAACCTTTCCAAATGGCTTCTCCTACCCAAGCTCCAGTGTCTTGCACATGATAGTCAATGTTGGCTGCATGTAAAACCCATTCTTCTAGCAGAGCTGATCTGATCTTTAAAGGCAAAAGTATTCTTTTGCATATTGGGTTTGCATTTTCATAAGCTATTGTATATATAATTGATTGTCTTGTTTCTGGATCTGTTACCTGTAATTCTACTGCCCTAGTTAACCTTTGTAAGAAGTCCTGGAACTGTTCTGTAGGTCCCTGTTCTATTCTGGTATAAGCTTCTAGGCTTTCTCCTGGCTCATGAACCTTATCCCAGGCATTTAATGCTGCTTTCCTGCATAGAGACAGTATATCGTCATCATATTCAGCCTGAACCTGTGGGTCAGCATAAATACCCTGACCAAGAATCTTATCTAGGGGGGCTTCAAAACCTTTCCTTTATGCCCTGATGCTCAAGGAGCTTTGCCTCTTCCCTTACTAATGCCTTCCACTGGATTTCGCATGAATTCTCAAGTAATCTGTGGGTGTCACCCTGTTAAAGGTTGCCCATGAATGTAATAGCTGTTTTACGTATGGGCTATGGAGACCATATGAGACAACTGATTCTTTAATATTCTTAAGATCCTTCAGCTGTATAGGTTGCCATTCATAAGCCATCTGTCCATGAAGGTGTTTCTAGCTATCTTTTCTACCATGGTAGCTGGGTTCACTAATGGTGTACAAATAACAACCTTAGAGGAATAGTCATGATACCTGGGTGGAGTAGGTGCCTGGGATTGGAGTGATTCTGCTTCTGAGGCACCCCACTGATCTTTAAGCCTAGCAATGATATCCTTATGAAAAGTTTCAATCTCCTTAATCATAAAAGATTCCAAGCACGTTAGTGAATCTGTAAATTGCGCTAACTGCTCATCTACACGTTTTTCTAGGTCTTTCATACGATCATCCTTAGACAGCATCTGGATGGCATGGAAACTGCCTTCTAGGTATTGGAGTCTAGATTCCAGGTCATGATTTGCTGATTTTGAGTCCTCAGCAATCGACCGTATGGACCTATATGTAATCTGTCAGCCTATACTGTAAATTATCTTCCAGACATTCAAATCTAGACTCAAATCTGTGATCTGCTACCTTGGATGCTTCAATAATTGATGGAATGGCATTGTCCAATTCTTCAACACTTTCCTGGGTATTTTGCACCTTTGCATCTAGTTGCTGGGTAACAGTGCCTATCTGCGTTTCTAGCTGGCTACAGATATTCTTTAGCTCATCACGGTCTTCTGGCAGCCTAGCCTCTAAGGCCTCAGACATGGAGGATCTCTCTGTGTTTATCTTATCATAAATACGCTGTATCTCATCAGACAGCTCTGTCTTTAGTGTATTGGACACAGAGCCAAGCTTATCATCCAATTTCTGTTCCACTTGCTGGACAATTTCGGTCTGACCTAATCTGTTCTCCAAAACCTCATTGCATAAAGCTGTTATTTCCTGTAAGTAGGTGGTGAGGTTCTCTCTCTCCCTTTTCCTGAGCCCTCTGGCTAGTAATACTATTTGTACCAGCAAGCTAACTGCCATTACCGCATATAGGCCAGTAATTGGCAGATTAGCATCCTCCTCATACAGTGAATTCACATAATAAGCAAAAATATTACCAATTTTAGCAAATGATAAATATTCTGCCATAATTTTAACTTAATTCTATTCCACATGCAGTAACTATCTTTGAGCAGCAGGTGGCACAGGTGGTCAGTTAGTCCGTGCTGTTTGGCAGCGGTCGTGGCAGTGGTGGAGAGAGGTCACAAAAGCGGCTGCCCTTATCTTAGCGAGTATATGGCCTTGAGGCTGCAACCACTGAATGAGGCATGGCTTTAAGGCCACTGCATGGACCCTGCTGAAAGCCGAGACCTACTCCCAAGGCCTACTTGGTTCAAGGGCTGGAGGCCTTCAGGCATGGATAGGCTACAGTCCGAGCTGGTCCCGAGCACATGGTGGTAAAACCATAGGCGGTCTGTGTGAGTCTCCAAGCTGGGCGGACGGTTCTGAGAAGTTCAGCCACAGTGGATTGGCTGTGAGCTGGGAGCACCTGTGGAGAGAGGGAGCTTTCCTGGCCTAGGCCGCTGACCTGGTGGAATCCACAGCCCGTCCCAAATGGAGGCTAGGTTTCCAGTATCCCACTTCTCACACCAGATAAAGTGGGAAATTACCAATACGGAGTCAGGTAGAAATACAAGGGTATTTAACAGGGAAAAGCCTTACTTACAGAGCGACCTAGCCAGCCTGCGCAGCAGCAGTCTGTACAGCAAGCCGAAAGGGAAACTGAAAGTGCCCAGCCACCTGACCACCTCTCACTCTATGTCACCCTGCCCAGACACCTGTAGCCATCCCCTAAGCTATGGCTTCCCCTACACGTTTACTTCTTAAGAACTGTTGCCATGTAATTGTAGTGCTTATAAGGAAAAAAAGAAACTTTGTTTCCACTGAGTCCCTCCTCCAGAAACTCTTCATTTAAACAAGTTGTTGTAAGAGTTTTGTCTATACTTAGTGTATGAAGATCCCCTAGAATAGCAGCAATTCACAAATAATTCAGAATCTTAAGGCAGACTGAGCAAATACTGGTTGCAAAGAGCTAACCCTCAAACACTCATTATAGATCAGTCCCCGAAAAAGTGCTTTATAAACCATTCTAATCACTACTGAAATAGTTACACCAAAGAAAAATATACAATATGAAATGTTCCCAAATATTACTGAAAATATTTCTAAGCATATTATAGTAGCATTGAAACCCTCCTATGTGAAATATATCAACGATGGGCCTCATCTTCTATGTTTTGCTAAGAAAAATTTCCAAACTGTAAAGGTCATGTACCATTTGGTTACATTCATATTCTGATGATGCTGTACGTGTGAGGGAGAGAAAGGTCTGTCACTAAAATGTAATATTCACAATGAAGGAAATTTATAAACAGTGGAAATGCCTGAGCCTTTTAAAAATATGTTTATGAATGGCAGACACACTGGTACATACCTAATTGTCCAACTACCTGGGAGTCAGAACAGAAGGTAGTGACAAAGCCTGTTCAGTGAGACAATCCCAAAAATGGTTATAGAGACATTGATTCCAAGAAAACCATGTTTCATAAAAATGTAAGCTACATATATTTGTTTGAATAAACCCATAAAAATTCAGATGTGTTCATGTTTATAAGAATGTTTCATTTGAATGTACTTTCTCTTCTTCCTACTTTGTTCTGCCATGGAACAGTTAGTTTTTGATTGTTTAAATAAATGGCATCTAGTGGTAATTAAATAATGAACATTAATTTTTTTAATTCCAAGAAAGCCAGTAGGGGATAACCTGACTCTCTTGCCCAGTTTGAAGTGAATGCTATAGAAGAAAATGGAAGTTGAAACTGTTGTTTTATAACTACATCTAAGTGTTGAAGAGACCTTTGAATATTGCTGGGCGTAGACACCTCGCCTGTCTAGACATAGGCCTTCCTACTCGGTGTTACTGGTTCATATTTCATGAAATTAGGAGAGAACTGCTATGCAGGAAAGGAAAAATTAACCCTGATCTTTTCTCTCTAAGGGATTGGTGAATTATCAGTTTGCTCATGTGTTAAAAACTTGAAGTCATAAACCAAAGTGTATTGTTTTATTTTAGGATCACACTTTGTCATTACAAAATATGTATTCTTATGATTCTTTATACCCAACCAGTAATGTGTTCCCCCACAGACCGGGGGGATTGCCACAGCCGAGTATGAGCTAGAGCATCTGCTCCTTGAAGGACACTGCTTTGATTTGACAACAGAACAGCCCCCTCAGGGTCTGCAGTTTACACTGGGCACAGAAAACAACCCTGCCGTAGTTGACACAATAGTGATGGCCAATCTTGTAAGTATTCTGAATATTTAATAATGCTATTTAACATTCTGGTGAAATCCCTTAAGTTTTCCTAATAGATAAAAGAATTGCTATTCTTAAATTGTTGAACAGCTAATAGAAAACAAGATTGAATCACCTTAAGATTATTTTATTTTTGTTTACATGTATGTGTCTCTATGAACGTGTGCCATGTATGGAGGTCCATAGTCAGCAGATGACGCTGTCACATCCCATGGGAGCTGGAGTTGTAGGTGGTTGTGAGCTGCCCAACATGTGTTCTGGGAATCAAACTCCAGTCTGCAGCAACAGCTCTTTACCACTGAGCCATCACTCTAGTTCCCTGAAGATAAATTAATTACATTTAAAAACTGAAAGAATGAGTCAGGCATGGTAAAATCCTGTCTCAAAACAGGGGGGAGAAATCATTCATTTAGAATATGACTTATAGCTTTTTGTAAAAATCTCCTTCCTTGGAGTTCATTTGTAGAATTTTCTCTTGTTCACACTAAATGCTTTCTTAGCTACTTTATATATATTCTTTAATGAATAATTGTATATTCTCATTCACATAATTGAATAGTTTCCCCTTTTCATCTTCAAAGGGGTATTTTCAATTAAAAGCAAACCCAGGTGCATGGATACTGAAATTACGTGAAGGAAAATCTGAAGATATTTATGATATAGTTGGGTGAGTTATCCAAACCACTTTTAAAATTTAATTAATTTATTTTTCCCTCCTGATCACATTCTTCCCTTCCTCCCTCCTTTCCTCCTAGTCCCTCCCCTAACTCCCCTAACTTTCTTTTTCCTCCTCCTTGCTCTTCAGGCAAGGCCAGGCCTCCCATGTGTATCAGGCAGCCATGGCATATCAAGTTGCAGTGAGACTAGGAACCTCCTCTCCTATTAAGGCTGGGAGAGGCAGCCCAGGAGGAGAGAAGGGTCCCAAAAGCAAGCAACAGAGTCAGAGACAGCCCCTGCTCCCACTGTTAGGAGCCCCACAAGAAGACCAAGCTACACAAGTATATAACATATGTGCAGAGGGTCCAGGTCAGTCCCATGTAGGCTCTCTGACTGGCAGTTCAGTCTCTGAGTCCCTGTGAGCCCAGGTTAGTTGACTCTGAGTTTTCCTGTAGTGTCCTTGGCTTTTCTGGTTCCCTTGGACACAGAGCCAAGCTTATCATCCAATTTGTGTTTCACTTGCTGCACAATTGTGGTCTGACCTAATCTGTTCTCCAAAACCTCATTGCGTAAAGCTGTTATTGCCTGTAAGTAGGTGGTGAGGTTATCCTTATCCCTATTCCTGAGTCCTCTGGCTAGTAATACTATTTGTACCAGCAAGTTAACTGCCATTACGGCATATAGGCCAGTAATTGGCAGATTAGCATCCTCCTCAAACAGTGAATTCATATAATAAGCAAAAATATTATCAATTTTAGTAAATGATAAATATTCTGCCATAATTTTTACCAGATTTCTACTCCAGATGCAGTAACTATATTTGACCAGCAGGTAGCACAGGCGTTCAGTTATTCCGAGGCATTTGGCAGCGGTGGAGAGAGGTCACAAAAGCAGCTGCGCTTATCTTAGAGAGTATACGGCCTTGCGGCCACAACCACTGAAACAGATGCTACTTTCCCGCAGCAGTGGCCTGGGGAAGCCTCTGCTGAAAGCCGAGGCCTACCTCCACTCTAGGCAGCTAGAAACTGTCTCCGAGCTGGGTGGATGGGTTCTGAGCAGCTCAGCTGCAGCGGGTCTGCTGCTAGCCGGGAGCACCTGTGGAGAGAGGGCGCTTTCTGGGCCTAGGCCACTGCCCGATGGAATCCACAGCCTGTCCCAAATGGGGTGTAGGTTTCCAATATCCCACTTCTGACACCAGATAAAGTGGGAAATTACCAATACGGAGTCAGGTAGAAATATAAGGGTATTTAACAGGGAAAAGCCTTACTTACAGAGCGACCTAGCCAGCCGGCGTGGCAGCGGTCTCTACGCAAGCCCAAAAGTGAAACTGAAAGAGAGCACGAAGTCCCATCCCAGTATCGCTCTACGTCACCCTGACCACGCCCTCACAAGCGTGGTCAGGCACACCCGTAGCCAGCACCTAAGTAGGCATGGCTACAGCTTTCCCTACACTCCCCGTCTTCCACAGGATTCTCTGAGCTCTGCCTAATGTTTGGCTGTGGGTCTCTGCATCCATCTGCTTCCATCAGTTGCTGGGTGAGGCCTCTCGGATGACAGTTGGGCTAGGCAATGATGTATGAGTATAGTCAACATAACAATTAAATTCCTGAAAGCAAATATTAGATCTAGTTGTGTGCAAGATGACAGAAAGTGACTTTTCAGGACTTGACCACCCATAGAATTTTAACACCTGTCCATGCACAATGGAGAGATACTAACACATGACTGTATCGGGAAACAAATAAAAATAAATGCATCAATGTAGAGAGGACGGTTCACAATAACTGTTAGCAGCACAGCCCTGAGAAATCCTCTATTTGGTGTACTAAGAAGCAAGCACAACTTTGCTCTGAACCCCAAAATCAAGCCCACCGAAGCAAGCCTACACCCAAAAAACCCTCATAGCACTAGACTTTAATCTGTACCCCAAAATTAAGCCTCTAGGCCTTGTTGTCAGGTGGGGTCCCACATCCCCAGAATCTAGATGTATCTGGTATTCTCAGCATTTGTATCTGCCCACTGTGAGGTCTGCTCAGGTGTCTACCAGCAGAGGACCAGTCCCTCCAGATTCAGATTCCACTTAGAAAGGGTCGAAGAGCTGGCTCCCAAGGAATGGCACATAGAACAAAACTGAGAACCTGGCAGAAGAAGAGCCACTGCCTTTCTGGGGTTCCCATAATTCCAAAGTAAGAAAACAGGAAGCTGAGCCACCATGACACCAGCTGACCTTTTGAGCCCAGAAAGATATGCAAGTGACCTGTTAGAATGAGGTCTCAGTGGCTGTGCTTGTCACTAGAATCACCAAAACATGAAAATATATTTGTCTGTTCAGCAGGATCTAGTTATCAGCCAGAACTATAGCTTCAAGAGAGTCTAGGGAGCAACCACACAGAAAGAGAGAGAGAGAGGAGAGAGAGAGAGGAGAGGGGGAGAGAGAGAGAGAGAGAAGGAGAGAGAGAGGGGAGAGAGAGGGAGAGAGAGAGAGAGAGAGAGAGAGATTTAAGCTAACTCCTCCCAGGCTCAGGTAGCGTAGCAGAAGAAGAGGCCAAAAGAATAGTAAAGCCAGAAGACTGGGAGGAGGGCCGTGAGGTGTTGTCTATTGGTTGTTCCGTTGCTCTGATAAAACACCATGACAAAAGCTGCTTATGGAAGGAGGAGTCTGTTTTGAATCATACTTCCAGAGGCATGGAAGTCCAGCAAGGTGGGAAGGCACGGCAGCTTCCAGTGGCACGTGCAGCTGCTCGAGCAGAAAGCCGGGAGCCCATCTCCTCATCCCCAAACACAAAGTGGACAGAGCCAACCGGGAGTGGCACCCTCGAGCTAGGCCACGCCTCTTAACTTCCCACTGCCCAACAGCACTGCCAGCTGGGGGCCCAGTACTCAATACACGAGCCTATGGGGGACAGTCTTCGTTCGCACCACCACGTACAGCCGGCTGTTGCAATCAGGAAAGAGCCCTCAGCAGTTGTGGGTCTACCACAGAATGAGTCCAACAACAGCTGGGCATGGATGGAGCCTTACCCCACACTGCTGGATTATTTTCTACCGACTGTAAGGAAGTCGGGGGCATCGCCTTCAGTGTTTGCTTGTGCGGTGCCAGTGGGGGGTCCTAACCCTAGTCTCACAGGTGGCCCTGGTTCAATTCATGAATCTGGGAAAGGGACAGGTGTCGAGAGGACATACTGTTAGAGGTGCGAGGGAGATGGGGCTGAACCCAGAATGTGTTGTATACCCATTTGAAATTGTCAAAGAAATCACTTGTTTCTTTGGAAAAGATGTGTTTCCATTTCTGATTCCTGCAGTATCTGCTGGATTCTCATGATACATACATCTTCTCCACGTTTTCATAAACACCAGCAGTGTGCTACCCTTTCTCTGTGGCCTGAAAGTTTGTGTATAAATTACAGCCAGGAATTGAATTTAATGTTACAGTTTTCTTAAGAATAGTTGACACCTGAGAGAAAGGCTTCTTCCTTTCCTCTGAGGACAGCCAGCAGGTGAGCCAACATGGGTGCCTACAAATACTAAGAGCTAGGGAGAGTGCAGCAGGTGGTCCTGCTGGCCAAACCACCAGCTCTCTGCACTGCACAGGGCTCCCTGCCCCAGCAGGCCTGATAAACCCTGGCCAACCAAGGTTATGTCATATACAGGATTTGTGTCCTCCATAGTGGCTGCTAACGCCCAGCTCCTAAGTGTGCAATTTACAGCAAGCCTGCCCATCATAACCAGCTAAGGTTTCCCTGAAGCCTTCAGTCTGTTGCTAAGGAGAGAGCTGGACACCACATTGGGGCTTTGAGAGTCTTGAATTCTTACTGGCTTGGTGAAGGTTCCACATACAGATTCTTGGAAGTTATCCTCATTGATGCATTTCACAAAGCTGTCAGAAGAAACCCTGGCAACCAGTGGATTACTACACCATCAGCACAGGCTGATGTCTGCTGACCACAAGAGCCGTGGCCTTGGGAAGGGCCACGAGTTCCGTCACTATGTTAGCGGCTCTCCCCAGGCGGCCTGCAGACTGCACAATACTCTCCAGCCCCGCCATTACTGCTAATACAGTAATGTTCGTAAAATTCATACCCAATAAACCATTTAGGAAATTAAAAAATAGTTGATGCAAGGCTTCTTCATTTTCTGCTTTTAGACAGTGTTTTCAAAGACAAATGAGAAGCCAGATTGGTTTTTTCCAGTCTCTCTAAAAATTTAAAATTTTATATTTAGAATTATAGGAAAAACAAATTAAACTAATTCTTTTCTGATGCGTGGTAGTAAAAGACTTAGCTGACATACAGTAGTTTCTCAAACCTTACTGAGAATATAAATTAATTGAACAATTTCTTTTCCTCCTGCCTTAAATCCTTGTTAGTGAAGTCTGTTTTCTCTACTTAGCTTATCTGTTCCCTTGAGCTGCTGGCTGTACCTGAGTCTAGTGGGAATAACTGCTTAGCATGGTTGATAAGGTCTGCTGCAGTCTCAGTGCAGGCCCAGACCAGCAAGGCTCAGATTGCATCTAGGATAATAATTGTACCATCCAGAGATGTTTGTTTTGTGACACCTAAAAAGAACTTCAAGTAGTGCCCCGGACAGAAGAGTTCTTCATCACCGTATCTCTGTGGCCTGGGGCAGGAGTCTCCTCTAGAACCGTTTGCTACAGAACTGGCCCAGTGGCTCTGGCTTGGCTTCAGAGAACAGTTACCAACAGCTGTGAGCAGTGTTTGGCTAGAGTGTCTAAAGGTTATTTTAAAGTGTGACATTTGAGTTGTGCACATTGGAACCTTTTTGGTTTCCTAGTGAACAACTATTGCATAGGACCCTGATTTCTGCTGTAGTTTAAGCCACCCTCCAGCCGGGAACCTGAAGTCAGAGGGAATCTGTGTTGGTCATCATCATACCAGGATCTCCATGTGCTCCTGTTAGAAAAACATTAAGACACATACCAACATATAACAAAATGACAAGGCAGCTATTAACGTGACCTCTGATCTATTTCTCTCTAACAAACTTCAATGTTATTATATAAGCAGTTTTCATGACAGACCCCTGAGTACATAGAGAGCTATCATACATAAGCTCGTGAGTTACCGTGATTATTTAATGGTTTTGAAATTTAAGCAATGAACTACATTATGTGTGGTATAAAATAGGATCAAAGTGATACAAATAGACATACGTTGAGTTACTGAGCATAGCAGTGCCTTCCGGTTTCAGGTATTGAAAATGCTAGTGAGATGGGAAAGTTTCAACAGCAGAATTTCTCTAACATTGAAAACATTCAGGTCTAGAGATTGTCTCTCTTTTTAACTCTCAGTGCAGTTTATCAGCTAAGAGGTCTGAGTGTTGTCAAAGCCTTGTCGTAAGACAGCAAGAGTAAGAAGTGCCTCTAGATCATTGTAATACATATTGAAATAGCCTTAGTTAAATATTTCATTATAATATTTTGGTATATATAAATTGACTATGTTATACAAAAAAATTTATTGTAAAGGAATTATTTATATCATCAAAATTGTAGTCTATTGTTGAATGAATTATGGCATTTGTGTTCTTCTTTGTTAGGCATGAAGGAACAGACTCAGAAACTGACATGGGAGATGTCATCGTTGTGTTGGACACTTTCAAGAGTAAGATCCTGAAAATTGAGGTATGAGTGGCCACAGCTCTTCGGGGCTTTAATAATACCCTGTGTCTTCTTCACTTTCTTCAATAGCAACTAAAAATTTGTTGTCAAAAATTTTGCTTTGTAACTGAGTGAAAAATAGGCATACATCTAAACTGGCTGGTTTTTATATACTTGTGGAAAGAATTAGCAAAATGCAAGACAGATAGTTGTATTTTACAGAACTGGGGAAATATTACTTGTACCTGCAAATACCAAAATGTAAGCTGGGGCATAGAGGGAAGGAGGAGATATATTAGTCCTCTCATCAGCATGTGCGGGAGAGTCTGATGCAGTGTTAGAGCAGAGTTGAAGAGCTGAAGAGCACCAGAACCTCCCCAGAAGAGGAAGGGAGACTGTCGTTACAAAGAATGAAGAGTCTAGACTATGTGAATGAGAAATAATTCTCAAGTAATGTCTTAAGTTGGTAAAATCTCAAACCAAAGTGGAAGTACACTATTTGTCAATATAGTAAGCACCAAAATATTTTTTGAAATCGTGTTTCTGTAGAACTGATAGTACAAAGAGTGTAAGATTTAATCTATAACATGATGCTAATCTATAACCTGGATTTGTTACCCATAACTGCCTTCTTACATTTCTGAAGTTTTCTTGCCTTGTATGGCATACTGTATAATTAATCAGTTAAATTCTACATTCTCTCTTTGCCACATCATCCAGGTAAAGAAAAAATCAGGTAAAATTATGGAAGACATCCTTGCAGATAAACATGAAGATAAAGGCATGTGGGAGTCAATTAAAAGGTAATTATGAGTAATTATTTTAATGACGTAACTATAATGTTCAACGAGGAAACCCTGAAGCTGCAGGAAAGAGGCTGATGGGGTGAGAGGAAGAGAAGGGGGGTGGGGAACGGTCAGAACCGGCATTACATGCATGAAGTTGGCAAGGGATTAATATAATTTTATAAAGGACACAGCTATAAAATGCTAAAAATAAAATGCTGTTCAAACCAAAGTGTGGGGGTTTGTATCCAACTGGGGGACCTCGGGAAAGACTGTGGAGTGCGGCCTGGATTTTTTCTCCAGGAAAGATGGTGTTCAAAGTTGTAGTGAAGGTACCTAGTTACATGAAGAAACACAAGGTGGTCAGTGTGGCTGAAACACCCAACATCTCAGGGTGTTTGTGAGTCACACCACCAACTTTTAAAGCGCACTAGGGTTTGGGGTGCAGTAGCAGGGTGTTTTCCTAGTGGGTGTGAAGCTCTGGATTCCCTCTCCAGCACCACATAAAGGGGGAAAAGGGGGGAAGGGAAGGGAAAGGGAGGGGAGGGGGGAGGGGAGGGAAGGGAAGGGAAGGGAAGGGAAGGGAAGGGAAGGGAAGGGAAGGGAAGGGAAGGTTCCTGTATGTGTAATCCATTAACACATGGCTACGCGTGACTCTGGGCATTTGAGTGGCCTGGTCTGCCAACTGCCTTCGTCTCTTAATCCTACTGTTTCTTTGCCTCCCATTTTTCCAGGGAGATTTTTAAAATACAGGTTAATTGTCCAACAGATAGAAATGACCTCTTTCCATATACTACCAACAAAAGTTCCATAGCTGATCCAGGTCACACCATCACAGATTCCCCATAGGAGCCGAGCGCTGTGTCTGTCCACAGTTGGTAATATGATATCCCCTGTGAAGCCTGGGAAAGCCCTGTTCCACATGGACCTCATAGAATGAAAACGAAGGAAGAGTCATTCCCCTAAATCACCTGCTTATAAGTAGAAGGGGGAAGGAAGAAAGGACAGCAAACACAAACACAGTTGTTTGTTGTAGACCCGTTTTGTAGAGCTCTTTGAAGGCTATTTTACAGGTGTGGATATATTCTAGCTTTGTTCTGTTTCTGTGAAAATATCATACCCAAAGACTTCAGGAAGGAAAGGGTTTGGCTAACACTGCCAGATCGCAGTCCATCTTTGAAGGAAGTCATGGCAGGAACTCATACAGGAATTTGAAGCTGAGACCCTGGAGGAATTTGCTCGTTTGCCCAGGTTCCTGCTTAGCTGGCTTTCAGGACCACCTTGCAGGGACTAAGGCACCAACAGTGGGCCTTTCATATTAACCAAGAGCCAAGCCTGTCCCCATCGACACGCCCACAGGCCACAGGCCTGATCTTTTGGTTGGCACTCTATTCTTAGATGACTGTGGTCTGTGACAAGGTGGCAGTTAAAGCTAACTAGATGACATCTTTGAGTTTATGAGAGCCAGCAAAAGGTCATCTTGATCAAAGATGAGAAAAGGAACTTTAAGGCAAGTTGACTGAGCAGTCTAAATAGATTTTATTGTTCTACATTCAAAAGCACTGCCAGCATTTGGACTTGGCCCAGTTTTCACCTCATCAATAGCCTACTCTGTGTTTGTTAATAAAAACTGTAGTTCTCTCAATGTGGCAACTGTTCTCTTCTCAGAGAATCCCCCCAAAAAAAACCTGAAAAACACTGGCATCATAATAACTTGTACTTGCCAGAATAACTTTATTATTGTGTGTACGTGGGTGTTTTGCCTCAGGATTATATACATCTGTACACTGTGTGTGTGCCTGCAGAAGTCAGGGGAGAGTATCAGGCGCCCTGGAAATGGAGTTAGAACAGCTGTGAGTTGCCGTAGGGAAACCTGGACCTGGATCTGCTGTAAGAGCACCTGGTTCTCTTCACTGCTGATGAATCTCCCTACCCCACAAAATGTTTTCATACAAGTTATAAGTAGTGTTCCCATCTTAGCCACTTTAAATAACATGCTCATATAAAACTTGGGTTTTTAATTAAATAAAAAAATTAATCAACACCAATTATGTACAATAAGAATATCCCAAGTTAATTTGGTGCCTCTGAATTTTTTTGAAATATTTTTTGTATACTTATCTGTTTTTTTTAAATTGTTTTCTTTGTTGCTTGTTTTTTCTCTTATTGAAAATATTTTTTCTCATATTCTCATTGCAATTTCCCTTCCCTGTACTCTCTCCAGTTTCTCCATACTGCCTCTTCAATCTGAATCCACTCCCTCTCAGTCTTTCATTAGAAAAAGAAACATATTAACAAAATAAAATAAGGTAAAACAAAAACTAACATGAATGCTGGCTGGTTTTGTGTGTCATCAGAGAGGAAGGAGCCTCAGTTGAGGAAATGCCTCCATGAAACAACTGTAAGGCATTTTCATGATCAGTGATCAATGTGGGAGGGCCCAGCTCATTGTGGGTGGTGCCATCCCTGGGCTGATGGTCCTGGGTTCTGTAAGAAGCAGGCTGAGGACGCCATGGGAGCAAGCCAGTAAGCAGCACCCTCCATGGCTTCTGCATCAGCTCCTGCCTCCAGGATCCTGCCCTGTTTAAGTTCCTGTCCTGACTTCCTTTCACGATGAACTGTGATGTGGAAGTGTAAGTCAAATAAACTCTTTCATCCCCAACTTGCCCTTTAGTCATAGGAATTGAACAAAACAACCAAATGGAAAAGAATCCAAGAGAGGCATGAGAAACAGAACCCACCTGTTCACACACTCAGGGTCCCCACAAAACACTAAACTGGAAGTCATAACACACACAGAGGCCCTGGCACTGACCCCTGAAGTCCTCATGCTTGCTGCCTTGGTCTCTGCAAGTTTGAGTGAGCTTTGCTTGTGTTTATTTGGGGGGCCTTGTTTTCTTAGTCTGCTCCATCTACTCCAGCTCTTACCCTCTTTTCATTGTTTTCTTTTGAGACAAGTTCTCTCACTCTCTCTAACTCGCTCATGAGTGTGCACACCACAAGTATGCGGGTGGCCTCAGAGGGCAGAAGGGGAGGTTATAATCCATGGTTGTGAATTGTGGGTGCTGCAGACTGAACTGGAGTCTCTCTCGACCACTTAGACATCTCCCCAGCGCACAGATTGGTAACATTTGCTTGTGTCTTGTCTAACATCAGACACAAATACAGCAGTCAATAGCAAGTGTCCTCCTCTATGTCCACCTTGTGTTTTGAGACAGGGTGTCTTACTGAACCTGGAGCTCACCATTTGCTAGACTGGCTAAGTATCTGTCTTTCCAGCACTGGGGTTCCAGGTGAACACTAGTAAACCCATTGTTTGATGGTGATTGGGACCCAAGCTCCAGCCCTCCCATTGGCAGAGCCAGCACTTTCCTCACTGGGTCATCCTCCCAACTGTTTAAAATAACACTTGTGCTGGAGTACCTCGTTATCAGCGGGCACATTCCTGCCCCAATCCCATAAATCATCGCTGTTCCATTACTAACACTCTGGCTTAACGGATTCTGTTTCTTTCCTTGTTATCAGCCTATGTTAGTTCCAATGTACTAGATATGAACACAGCAGGCTACACTTCACTCTTGGTTCTCAGAAGAACTCTTGCAATCCACAAAAATTCAAGGTTACTCCACATTAATATGGAGAAATTTTAATTATGTTCCATGTCCAAAGAAAAGCTTATAACCTCAAACAATATCATCACTTTTAATATTAAATAGCTCACAATTATCATGATAAATGTTCATTTAATATAATAGTTGTTATTTGTGCACATTATTCTGACATATATAGACTAAGAATCCACTGTGCTGTGCTTTTATTACAAGCTTCGCAAAAAGCCTGCATAAAGATGACAAAAAGGAAAATGACATCCTAAACATTTTTTCGGTTGCTTCTGGCCATTTGTATGAACGTTTTCTACGGTGAGTGAGTATTTTCTAGTATTTTCACAAAGTTACATACTTACATGGTGCAGGGTTCAACAAAATGAGAGAGTGACCAAAAAAAAAAAAAAAGGAACTTTGTTTCCTATTACTTCCTTGATTCTTACCTTTCTGCCACACCAGATCCAATAGTATTATTTGTATGCCCCGCCAAAGACCTGTAAGGGGGCAAATGTATTATTAATGTAAGTTCTTTTTACTTAAATATTAATTAACAAGGTATACACTACTGTGCATCTTACTTTTTATGTATAATTTTTAAACATTTAAATTTCATTGGTTTGATTTAGAATGGCTTTCTGTAAGGTTGCACAACACATTCTATGTAACAAGATGATAAATAAGGGGAAAATATGTGTGGTAAATGTTCCTTTCCTCATGAAGGAGTGTCATGCTCAGAGAAGGAAGTCAATGGGGAAGGAGATGGTATTCAGAATTCCAAGGGTGTTTGTAAAGGAATTTAAGAGGATGGATCACAAGGAATGCCTCATGCTATTGCCGTTATGGTGCTGGCACATGAAAGAGTCCTCTCAGGCTGCCTGCATCTCCTTCACTGAGAGGCCTACACTAGAGCTCCCCTGTGGAGGAGTTTGGGGTGCACAGTGCATTCCTCTGTGGGTTTATACCGAAGGCCTTATATTTATCACACAGTCACAGGACAGAGCCAGACACCAGTTCAGTAACAGGACTGCTTCACTCTAGCTACTTGCGAGCATTTTTACATCCAGTAGATTTCACATTTTAGCAACGTTAACGTCTGAAAATATTTCAAGTTGATTCTACATAAATTTATAATGGAAAACTTAATTTATACGTTTGCATATTTAAAAGCCTTTGAAAAAGTAGAACGTACCTCACCTTGTGTTTGGTTTCCTGTCCTGTTCACACAGGATCATGATGCTTTCCGTCCTGCAGCACACGAAAACACCAGTGAAGTTCTGGTTTCTGAAGAATTACCTTTCGCCAACATTTAAAGTAAGCATGTTGCTGTTTTACAGTGCGGCTAAATTTGATACTAACTTCTGTGTCGTCATTGTAAGCTCTTAAAACATTCCTTTTACAAAGCCAGCCTTTTAAAATGTGTACTTACCCAAATTACAATTTTGAATTTGAAATTATATTCACTATTCTTAACCAGTTTATAAAATTTCTGTGTAATTTTTAAAGAGGAATTTAAAGAAAAGAATGCCAGAAGTGTGAACCCTTAAGTCAATTCAAAACCAGAATGATTAATAGCTTTATATAATTTCAATTTGATGAAAATACGTAAAATTTTCAATTAAGAGAACTTGATTCTGTCACATTTTTCATAAAGATTGAAACATTGGTAATATGAAGAAAATATGAAATTACCGAAGAGTTCAAAGTTCCTACCTCCTGGCTCCTGTGTAGCTCCCACCGTGCCTTTCCTCAGGGATGGACTCTGACCTGCATGTGAGATGAAAATGAGCCCTTTCCACCCCACGTTGCTGTGGTTGTGGTGATTATCACAGAAGCAGAAAGAACTAGAACACTGCCTGTCCATTTGTGGGCACACTTTGCCACAGAGGCTCAGAGTAGTGAGCTCTGTCTGTCTCCCTGATGCACAGACTGCTGTGGCATGTGCACACGTGGGGTCCAGGGCAGTTGTCCTCAGTGGTTTGAGGTGACCAACATGTATTACTGCCCCCAGTACGTTCAGTTTCCCTGTATTCTCAGCAGGAAAGCAGTCAGACTTCATGGAACCCAAACAGCGCTCAGTGGAGGCACCTAAGCCAACAGTAACAATAAAGGGAGAAATAAAAAATGGCTAACCATGCTTTTGTCCCTTCGTGTTTCCAAGCATATTGCTGTCCAGTATTATTTGGTAATTCTTCATAATCGCACTGGAAAGAAAACTAAGACACCGTGTGACAGTTCAAATGAGAATGGTCCCCACAGGCTCATATATTGGAGGACTTGTTCCCTTCTTGGTGGAACTATTTGGGAAGGATTGGGAGGTGTGTCATGGGCTTAGGCTCTGAGGCTTCAACAGCCTTCCTCCCATTATCCGTGGTGAGCTTTCTCCCCCTTGTGTGTGGCTGGGTATGTGGTCTTTCAGCTGTTCCTGTTTCCGTGAGTTCCTTCTGCCATCACAGGCTTGAACCCTCTGGAACCACAAGTTCAGTTAAACCTTTTCAAGTCCCTGGGTGGTGGTGTTTTATCACTGCAAAGAAAGAGTGACTAAGACACACCTGGACCCACGGATAACAAAGACTACACCTTTATAGAAGTTTAGTCATTGACTGGGGGGACCTACACAACTCATAAAAGCTGTTTTGCTCATAGGTTATTACCACAAAAAATACAAACACAATCGACAAAAGACAAGGAGCAGAGGGAAAATAAATGTGGAGTTGACAGCTGTCTTTCTCAGACAGCACTTGACCCTCCACTCGCTCCAGTGGAGCTCTGATAGAGTATTGCAGTCAAGAATATTCACCCACACTTTGATCAGGGTCAGCCACGTAGCCCAAGCTGCCTGCCTGCCTACCTGAGCTAAACTTCTACCTCCTCCAGAGCTTGGGCTGATTACTGTGGCTCAAAATGCTCACCATGAACCGTCAGCGTAGACTATCTGGTATGACTCAGAGTCCCTTGGGAGACAAGTTGATTCTGATCAGGAAGAACTTCCAGGAGTAGAAGTTACCTCATAAGAGCCACACCAGATGTCATGCTTTTCACTACATGTGACCCAAACAATCTAGCACAGGCCTGGATAGGACAGCTGATTATGAACACCTGAGGTTGAAACCCAAGCACTCCTCAGACCAGCCCCCCCCCCACCCTGTGGGACAGCCTGTCTCTTGCCGCCAGCATTCCTTTGTACATTTGGCATCAGAAAACACAAACTGAAAAAGAGTATATGATGATAGACAAAATCTTAACCTATTTTTCTTACTTTTTAAACATGTCCTACCAGGCAAATACCTGCATTGGGACGGGAGGTAGATAAGCCAAGATGACACAGTGGAAAGACGGTCTTAGCAGATAGTCTCTACTAATCAGACAAATAGTTCTTTGGAGATAAAGCCTGCAGCATTTCATGGCAAAAAGTAATGCCCTACCAAAATCGTGTTTTCCTGTCCAATTTGCTTTTTCTCTCAGTTTCATCCTTGTAAGATGCTTTAGTGCAAATGGCACATACACAGAAAAGTGTGCAGCCTTGCACACGTCGCCCTGGCGCATTTCCCACAAAAGGCCTGGGTCCTGATGCAAGCAGTAGACACACCAACCACAGCAGGAGTCTCAGGCTCACATCTGGAACCACAAGTGTAAGCAGAGAGAACAAACTCGAAATGACACGTCTGTAAACTCTCAAAGCCTACCCCCAATGACATACTTCCTCCAACAAAAACTCTTCTGAACCTCCCAAACAGCACCAAGCATTCAAACGCCTGAGGCTCTAGGTCATCTCACTTAAACCACCACAGGTCCCTAGCTTCACTCACTGATGCGCCAGAGCCCGCATGTCTTAGTTGTAACCCTTTCCATATATCACTGTGAAAGCTACAGTTCACTCATTTGTATCTTTTTCCATAGCTCTAACTTGCATAGGAAACAAGTTCATTTCTTTTTCTGTCTAGCATCTCCCAATGGTTAACTTCTAGGGTGATGACCTGGGTGGTACAGAGTGGTTGCTGGTCACTGCCACATCCACTGGAATCAGCAGTGCTGTGTAGATAGCTTTGATATGGACTGTTGAAAAATTGAAGTTTTTAATTTCTCCTCATGGTTTATATGACAGCAATGACTCCAAGAGGCTGTGAAAGCTGTAACTTCAACATTTTAATAAATAGATAAAATGGTTCCAAAGAGCCTGCTCATACATACATCAGGGATAAATCCTGACCCTGCTGCTAGGGACCCCACAAAACAAGCCGAGCTACACAACTGTATATGCAGAGGCCCAGATTAGTCCCATGCCAGCTCCCTAGCTGTCTGTCCAGAGTCCTTGAGCTCCCACGAGCTCAGGTCAGCTGTCTCTGGTGGCTTTCCCACCTTGCTAATACAATCCCTCCTCCCTGTCCTTCACTGGACTCCCGAAGCTTGCCCAGTGCATGGCTGTGAATCTCTGCAACTCCTTCCATCGGATACTGGAGGAAGGCTCCAACGTGACAATTAGGGCAGTCACCACTCTGATTACGGGGAAGGTGCCCTCTCCACTACTACTGTAGGCAGACTCCCTCATACCTGCTGGCTCCCAGAGCTGCTTCCGTCATGCAGAAATGCCTGACAAGTGTGCCTTTTGTTTTGTGTGACACGTGCAGCACCTGTTCTCCACAGAAGTGCAAATGCTTCCTGTTGGAATTAGATTGCACACAGTGTTCAGCACAGCCACGCGATGTATCAGCCTCCAGCTGTGAGCAGAAGTCGATGCTACCTAGGAATCATGCCATTCTCTGATGTCTGTACATTGAGAAAAGCATTTAATCATACCTTCCTTAGAAAATAAACCATGCTGTTAAGGGATCCATGGCTGTTTCTAATTCTACATGAAGATGCTAAATCAACTATCAGATTATTTGATACTCACATCTGTTTTTTTAAATACTTGAATGATCATAAATGTCAAACATGAAACTCCTGTGGAGTGTCATTTATCAATTCCCAAGGCACCATGTGCTTCTGTGTTTTTGTATCCCCCTCACAAGTCAGTGCATGTTGACATATCCGTAACTGTGGTTGGAGACTTTTCTTTATAGATGCTTAGTCAATAAGCATGCCAATTAATACCTACTTGTATTTTAACAACAGTTTATTATATAGTTACATGTAATTATGCCTCCATGTGAGTCAGCATTTTAATCCATTTCTGATGAGATAAGCTATTTAAGGGGAGGAAAGCATTGTTTGGGCCCATAGTTTTGGAGGTGCTCTGCCTGTGTTCACTTGGTCCTGTTGCATTGGCACCAACTGTGGCAACTGTACATCCCCATGTGAGCACATGGCAAAGGAAGCCAGTCCCCCTTGTGTTGTTTGGAAAGCAAAGGGAAAAAAGAGACACTAGAGTCCCAGTATCCTCTTCTAGAGACCTTCACCCCCAATCACCTAACTGCCCTTCCTTAGGCCCCATCTCCTGAAAGCCCTGCCACTTCCAAGTAGTGCTACAGGTACTTCAGGCTAAGACTGTGAGAGACACTCTCAGACAACAGCATAAAGAATGATGTGTTAAAGTGGTGTTTAGGCAGCTTCCCATTAGTTTATAATAATTTTATAGTAAACTCTTCTAATGTATTGTTGGATTCTGTTGTATGTGTTTAGGAGGTGATTCCTCACATGGCCAAAGAGTACGGATTCCAATATGAACTTGTGCAATATAAGTGGCCCCGTTGGCTTCACCAACAGACTGAAAAGCAGCGAATCATTTGGGGTTACAAGATTCTTTTCCTCGACGTGCTTTTCCCACTAGCAGTGGACAAAATCATATTTGTTGATGCTGACCAGGTAAGAAGAAAAATTATTTTTAGTAATGAAGTATGTTTTCCCTCTAACTGAATGTGAAAGTGAGTTGCTGCTCACTTGTTGACATTGCTACTTCATAAACAGAAGAGATATGATCTTAATATATTCGTGGTGTGCCATAAGTTTAAGAGGAATCTGACAGAACATGGGAGAGGTAAAAGTGTGGTGAGAAACACTGGCTGCTTAGAACATGGCAGATTCTATCTGATAGAACGTTTCTGTTTTGTTTTGGTTTGGTTTTTAATTTGGCAGGTAAAAAGAAGACATGACTAGATTAGTCATTGTAAAAACAGTTATATAAATTTGTGTGGATATGAGCTGGTTTTCTTTTAAACAGGCTGTTTTCTTCTTGCTGGAAATATTAGTGGAGGCATACAGCCTTCTCTCATTATTGCAGCCTCAGCAGCTTGGTTTGATACTGAAACGGTTATCAAGTCTCCATCTGTCTGCCACTTAAAGGATCTACATTTAGCTGGGAAAAAAATTAAAGACCACTGTTACAAGCACTCTTTCCCACCAGCCTGACCCCACAACCATGTCAGCCCCAAATGAACACATACAACACACACACACACACACACACACACACACACACACACATCTAAAAGTGTAAGGTTTTAAAGCATAAGAGTCTTTACCTCCTGTCAACATTTACGCAGGAATTCTCTCAACAAGCTTGAGACAATGAAGAGTAAACACAAGGCTGGAGAGCGGGCTCTGTGGTAAGAAGGACTTGGCTGCTTTTTCGAAGGATTCGAGTTTATTCCTAGAACTTACAGGTTAACTCACAAGCAGCTACACTCCAGTTCCTGGGGAGCCAGTGTTCTCTTCTGGCCTCTGCGGGCATTGCACACACGTGCTGCACAAATAGAACATTTGTCACCTCCTATACTCTAAATAAATCAATCTTTTTAAAAAGGAAGAAAGAAAAAGAAATGTTAAAGCATATTAACATTGTCAACTAAGCTACCTTTTTTTGTTTTTTTGAGACCAGGTTTCTCTATATAGCAGCCCTGGCTGTCCTGGAACTCTCTCTGTAGACCAGGCTGGCCTCGAACTCATGAAGATCCACCTGCCTCTGCCTCCTGAGTGCTGGGATATTTTTTCTTGGGGCTTAAGAGATAGCGCAGTGGTTAAGAGCACTCCTGCTTTTCTAGAAGCCCTGAGTTTAATTCCCAGCAACCACATGGTGGCTCACAACCATCTGTAATAGGATCTGATGCCCTCTTCTGGTGTGCAGGCATATGTACAGATAGAGTGTGGACAGTTCTGTACCACCTGGTCCCAAATAAGCACACAGAGACTTTTTAAATTGTACACTGTTTGGCCCATGATTCAGGCTTCTTACTGGCTAGCTTTCTTTTAATTATTAACCCATAAATGTTAATCTATGTATTTCTACATGGCCTTATTTTACTAGAAAATGCCCAGCATGTCCTATCTTCCTGGTAGCTCCATGGCGTCTCTCCAGTGGCTCCTCTCCCTGTCTTTTCTCCAGAATTCTCCTCATCTCATAGCCCTGCTTATACTTCCTACCTGGCTACTGGCCAATCAGTGTTTTATTCATCAACCAATAAGAGAAACATATATACAGAAGGGCATTCCCCCATCAATAGAGCACTCACACAAAAATTATTTTTTAGAAAGACTTTTTCTTTGATTCTAATTAGTATTTTTCCACTATTAATTCATACACTGAGGAACTAAGAGCTATGTGTCTTTGTGATAGTTAATACCTTCCAAAATTGTGTTATATAAACTAGTTTGCTTATAAATGATGTAAATAGGTATCTCATTGATAAGACCACAATTATATAGATAAAGAACATAAAGCTTATGTTTCTATTAATCTCTGAGAAGAAGAAAAAGGTGAGCATTAGTAAATTCATGTTGTATGACAATGGTATGAGGAAATGCACCTTTCTGTATATGTGCGATAAGGTAGCAATGTCGGAAGAGCTTATAATATTTTACAATCTACACTGTACAGAGACACTGTTTTCATTACTTAGATTGTGAGACATGACCTGAAAGAACTTCGAGATTTTGATCTGGGCGGAGCTCCTTATGGATACACTCCATTCTGTGATAGCCGCACTGACATGGATGGATATCGTTTCTGGAAAACAGGGTACTGGGCATCACATCTTATGAAAAGGAAATACCACATCAGGTAAGACACTGGGTGTTCTTCTGTTTTGCTCCTGACTAGGGTATTTAATCACAATTATAACTGTGTGTGAACTTTAACACATGAGCTAGTAGACTTTTCACAGTGTCAGTGTTCTGTTTTGTTGCCATGGAAATGGAGGTAGTCGGCACTCGGGTGACTTGCTCAGGCTATCCTTTCCCAGCACTTGGGTGAACCAAGAGTCAAGACCTGATGACACAGTTCAGGAAAATGCTGTCTGTGCACCAAGATGGAAGTTTTGTTTGTCAATGACAAAGTACGGGCACTAACACTGACAGTTACTTGTCTGCAGGGCTGTGAGTTGCATGAGAACTGGAAAGGTTTGAGAGGACCACAGTTACAGCAAACCTCAAACTCTTTGGAAATACCAGAACATTGGACTCAACTTATGGGAGAAATATTTGTTAGGTTCTAAGGTGTCTGCTTTGCTTTCTGTTGTTATAATAAACACCATGACCAAAGGTACTTGAGCAGAAAAGGGTTTGTTGCATTTTGGTGCGTACAGACCTTCACAAAGGGAAGTCTGGGAGGGAATGCCAGGGAGGAACCTGGAGACATGAATGATGCAGAGAGCAGAGGAGCAGCACTGATTCCTAGTTGCTCTGTGTAGCTGCTCAGTTTGTTTCTAATTCACCCCCAAAGCACCTGCCCAGGGGTCACACCACCCACCGGGGTCTGGGTCCTCCTCCATCAATCATTAATCATGAAAATGCCCCCACAGTCTTGCCTATAGGCTAATCTGATGGAGGCATTTTTTTCAGTTGGTTCCCTCTTCCCAAGGGGCTGTAGCATGTGTTGAATTGACAACAAAACTAACCAGCGCAGCCTCTACGGATAGTGCCATTGCTATACACAATCGTGGGGACCAGCACAGCCTCTAAGCGCAGCACCACAGATGACTAAGAAGTGTTCCTTTTTTTTTCAGTGCCTTGTATGTGGTGGATCTCAAGAAGTTCCGGAGAATTTCAGCAGGTGATAGGCTCCGGGGCCGATACCAAGCTCTTAGCCAAGATCCAAATAGTCTTTCAAACCTAGATCAGGTAAGTACTGTGACAAATTCTAGCGAGTAAATCTATCTGTGTGTATAAACTCTTTCAGTATCCTTCATACATATACAATTGTTTCTTTATGCAAATACTCTACTTACACATTTTTTCATTTCAAGCTGAATATTTTTTATTCTGACAGTATTTACACTTTCACATCCCAAACTTACTCTTTTTTCCTTACAACCTGGATCATTTAGCCACCCTCTTTCCTTAATTTTCCTTCTTGACATAGTTCTCTCACGGGCCCGCCTCCCTCTCCCATTAGTCTGTTGTGTGCTGATGTTCAAGAAAAACTCTCTTTGTCCTGTGCTCCCCAGAGACACCTGAGAGGCACATCTTTCCTGGAATACCATTAAACTATTCATTGTTTCCCCAGAATAGTTCAGATAATTTAAGCAGATGTGAAAGACAGTGCAGCTCACAATCCTCAACATTTCTGTTTCCCAAAACCATTCATAGGCATTTAGCTGGTGTCTTTTCTATGCCCCGAAGTGTCACACGCTCTCCAAAGACCTAAAGCCACAGAAAACAAAGCAAACTATTCTTGAGGTCACAATGCTTTCCTTCTAGTTACAAAATATGTGTATATGTATGTATACATCTGTGTGTGATTACTTTTTGGAGAAGAAATAAAATAGGAAAACATTATAGATAGGCTCAGAACGGCCAATCAAGTTTGGGGGTTGCCAGACGTTGGTGGCACATGCCTTTAATCCCAGCACTTGGGAGGCAGAGGCAGGAGGAACTCTGTGAGTTCAAGACCAGCCTGGTCTACAAGAGCAAGTTCCAGGACAGCCTCCAAAGCAACAGAGAAACCCTGTCTCGAAAAACCAAAAAAAAAAAAAAAAAAAAAAGTTTGGGGGTTTTAGTGTCAAGTAGGCACCCATTTTTCCTTTTGAAGACAAATTTGATTGGGTTTCATATAGAGGCCAAAAACTTTGCTCATACAGGTGTTCCCAACATTGGAGGTGGGCATTTTGTGTTTGAGAAATATTAAGAATTGTGGTTATTTATGAGGTCAAATGCATAACCTACTTGCATGTGTGTTACCCATAGTGTTGTACGTTAATGTTCATAGCTTTATTTCCAACAGACAAAACCTAGAAACAATTTTGTATTAGTTATCTATTGCTACATAACACCTCACTGTAAAATCTAGTAGCTAAAAAGAGGCAGTGCCTGCAGCCCGGTCATGGGAAGCAGACGTGGCTGATGATCTGCCACCTTTCACAGAACCAACTCCCTTGGTGCTTGATAAGATAAGACCATTCCCGAGCTGTATGGTGTGACCCAAATTCTTAGCTTAAATTAAGCATGCCAAGCATAGCGTATGGAGGCATCACAACTTGATTGAATTTTTATGATATATTTAAAGTCTAAGTGACAACTCTGGCATATTAATTTTTTTCTATAGGATCTTCCCAACAATATGATTTACCAAGTTGCCATTAAGTCTCTTCCTCAAGACTGGCTGTGGTGTGAAACCTGGTGTGATGATGAATCTAAACAGAGAGCCAAAACAATTGATCTGGTGAGTGGCTGTATTCCCACTTGCATATGAGCTTACAGAAATGTCCACATTTAAACACAGGGTTTTACAAATGAAGAACCATGCACCTACTATTACCACAGCTCTTTTTTGCTTAGTCTCTTAGGAATTAAGTAAAAAGCTGTGTTCAGGGGTCCCCAAGACTACCCTCAGGCTTGCTGATTTGTAAAGAAAAATATATGTAAAGATAACCCATGGCAAAGTTCAAAAGAATGTGCACATGGAATATATAAGATCCAGGGACACTGTGAAAAGAACACATCTATGAACCATGAGCATACGAGGAGAAAAGTCTGTGCTAATGGCCTAGAAAACTTTTTCAGTCGATTAGTAGACGCGACAGAGATGTCTTTCCAGCTCAGGAGACAGAGCACCAAGCAGACAAAACCAAAACAGAACTTCTCCATAGTAAATTATAGATAAAACCCTAATATCTATAGGGAAGTCTATTGAAAGTTTCGAGGGGCAAACAGCAGCTCACATGTAAGACCGGCCCATCAGAAGGAAAGCAAATTCTCAGCAGATACTCTAAAACCGTGAAGGCTTGGAACAATGTATTTCAAACTTTGAAAGACCACAGCTGCCAAGCCAGAATAGCAAACCCATTCAAAACTGAAGGAAGAAGAAAACTTTCTGCTGTCTCTCTACTAAACAGTCTACTGTGGAGGAGGAAAACAAGTGTGCAGCACGTCTGGACCCTGAAGTGGTCCTCCTGGTAGAGGGTGGTGACGGGTCTTCATCCACGTGGGAGGGGAGCTTTCAGTTTTAGATCACGGGTTTTCTCTAGCAGTGGCTGCACACAGACAAAGGAGGGATGGCAGGAATCTGAGTGTTTAGGCAAATCAGCTCTCCCTCAGAAACACTTAAAAACTAAAAAACATGGGCCCGAGAGATGGCCAAGTGTTAAGACAGAGCAGAAAACTTCGACATTCTGTGTCAAAGGACTCCAAGAATGGTCTCTAGCCCAGGCGCTCATAAGTTGCTTTCCTTCTGAGAGCTCTTAACACACAGTTCACATGGCCCTCAGCACTACTGCCTTCCCACAGCCTACCAGGACGGCTCACTAAGTCCCACTTACAGTGTCCAACCACTTTTCTAGCCCCAAGTCCCAAAGGGTAGCACACTTCCTCCACAAAATATATGGGTCAGGCCTGTCAGAGGAATAACCCACTCCCTGGTACCAACATCTGTCTTAGTTACTTTTCTATTGCTATGATATAAGGCATCGTGACCAAGGTAACTGTCTTAGTTGGGGTTTCTAGTGCTGTGAAGAGACACCATGACCACAGCAACTCTTATAAAGGAAAGTGTTTAGTTGTGGTGGCTCACGTACAGTTCAGAGGTTCTGTCCATTATCATCATGGTGGGACATGCAGTGTGGAGGCAGACATGGTGCTAGAGAAGTAGCTCAGAGTCCTACTTCCTGCAAGCAACAGAAAGTGGACTGTCTGTCACGTTGAATGAAGCTTGAGTAAGAGACCTCAAAGCCCACCCCACAGTGACATACCTCCTCCAACAAGGCCACACTCCAAATCTTTCCCAAATGGTTTTACAGACTAGAACCAAGGGTATAAGCCTATGGGGACCATTTTCATTCAAACCACCACAGGGCCTTAGTAAAGAGAGAGTAAAGATCTTGGAAAATAATAGGGGACCACTGAGCTGCTAGTTGTCGTGCTTTTTAAAGGCTATGGCAGAACGGGGCTGAGTCATGGAGAGGGACCATGTTCTAGTGTGCGAGGTCGGCTCAGCCACAAGGTGTCCCCTGCCTCCTCTCAGTTTCTGTCACATCCTCACTTAGCCCTCCAGGCAAGGGTGAGAGAACACAGAGGCAGAACTCTGTCTGGCCTCCCTGGCCTCCTGCAGGGGCGTTCTTGGAACTGCTGCTTTGGGCTTCCTGCCTGTCTCACCAGTTTCCAGCTCCTGTTCTCATCTGTATGGAAGCTGTAATACTTTGACTACACAATTGTGTCCCTGGTGTCTGAGTCCAGACTTACCTTGTCTCCCATTCATGGCAATCCCCATCAAAAGGGTTCAGACAAGACTCTGAGTGCAGTATAGAGGAGACTGCAGAGCAGGGCAGGGCAGACAAGAGCCGGAGGGACTGTTGTCCCAGGCTCTACACGAAGCATGTTTTGTGCATGTTTATAGTCTGTGGACAGTTTTAGACCTTTTGTTGTGTGTAGATCTATTTTGGACAGAAGAGGACATGGTGATGTGAAGCGTTCTGTAGAAGGCGTGTCCATCCTGGTGTGCTCAGTTCTCAAAGGAGTGGGCGGGGCAGCCCCGGGACCTCCAGTCCTGCTAATGTCTGGTGTCCCAACAAACAGCGGGGCTGTGTTGCTTTTCATAATTTGTGTCACATTACATGAGCCCTAGTGACATACAAAGGGTCTCTAGCATTTCCTTTATGTCTCCTGAAATGTGAGAGTTTTTTTGTCCTGTTTTACTAACAAATTTTGTTTGACCTTTTAGTGCAATAATCCCAAAACAAAGGAACCCAAACTGGAAGCTGCTGCAAGGATTGTCCCAGAGTGGGTCAAATACGATGCAGAGATAAGAACATTATTAGATCATCTTGAAAATAGGAAAAATGCAAGTAAGTGATCGTCCTGCTTGTAAGACTTACGTTGTGCTAATGAGACCAGGACAAGTCACAGATCTACTGAAGTCACGAAAGGTCTGTTTATTTCACTAGGAAAGTTCATGATTTGATTGAGAATTTCATTTTAGGGGTGTGAGAGAAACTCAACAAGTACACTTGCTGCTCTTGCAGAGGGCCCAGGTCCAATTCCCAGCATCCGAATGTGGTTCACAGCCATCTGCGACTCCAGGTCCAGGGGATTTGGTGCCTTTGTTGAACTTCTGTGAACACCAAGCATGGTGCAAATAAACACACACACACACACACAGAGAGAGAGAGAGAGAGAGAGAGAGAGAGAGAGAGAGAGAGAGAGAGAGAGGCAAAATACACATAAAAATTAAATAATAAATCTAATAAAAAATTTTATAAATTTTTAAAGAATTTAATTTTCCACAAACTAAGCTCACAAATTTTTTAGTAAAATGTATATTAATTGCATGTATTAGCAGCATTCTCTGAAACAGTCAAGCACATTTAAGAAGAGACTATAGCTTTAATCCAATATTTATATAAATGAATAGTATAATATGATTTTAGGAAGCATGTGTTTATTAAAACACAGAGGTTAAATATAGAGGAACTTTTATCTCTAAGATTATACTGGATTTCCCAAATGTGAACCCTCAAAGCTAATTTAAAAATGTTTTTGATAGTTCACAAAAAACATTACCTCCATCCTTGAGAACTGTCATTTATAACAGAGGAGTCCTCCTTCCTGGTCCCAGTATCTTTAGTCATGAGTTGAATGTTTTGGACTTGATTCTCTTCGTTTATCATATTTAAAAAGTTGCCCTTATCTTGAAACATCATCACTGAATATAATCATTCAACAACAAATGTGTTTGTCTTCCTGGGAATTTATTCACTTCATCCAGGATATCCCAATGTTTTCTGTATGGTTGCTTATAATACTCTTTTTTTAGTCTTTTTATTTATTTATTCTTCTCTTATGCAATACATTGGACCCGACCCCACTCTTCCCACCTTTTCCCCAGATCCACTCCTCCTTCATTTCCCTTCAAAAGTAAGCAGACCTCCCAGGGATGTCAACCAAATGCAGCCTGATAATTTACAATAAGACAAGGCACAAGCCCTCCTACCAAGGCTGGACAAGGCAACACAGTAGGAGGAAAAGAGTCCCAGGAACAGGCAAAATAGAGGCAGCTCCCACTCCCACTGTTAGGAACCCCACAAAAACCCCAAGGTAAACAACCAAAACATACATGCAAGCTCCATGATTGGCGCGTCAGCCTCTGTGAGCCCCCATGAGCCCTGATTAGCTGATCCTGTGGACTGTGGTCTTCTGGTGTCCTCCACTCCTCCAGCTCCTCCAATCTCTCCTCCTGTCTTCTTTGGTTATGTGAGCTTTGACTAGTGTCTGACTGTGGGCCTCTGCATCAGCTCCGATCAGCTGCCAGAGGAGGCCTTTCTAATGAGGATTGGGCTACACAGCAATCTATGAGTATAGCAGAATATTATTAGCAATCATTTCATCGCCTTTTTTGTTGTTGTGTTTTGTTTTGTTTTGTTTGTTTTGCCAGTCCTATTTAGTTCCACCCTAGGTCTCTGGACCATCCAGCTTCTGGATCCCAGTCATCCAGGCAGGGTCAGGCATGGGCTCCATCTTGTGGCATGGGCTTCAAGTTAGACCAGTCATGGGCTGGCCACTCCTACAAGTTCTCTGCCATCCTTGGCCCTATACATCTTGCAGACAGGACAGGCTGTCAAATGTTTGGTAGCTGGGTTGGTGCCCCAGTCCCACTGGAAAGGTAGCCTAATCACAGAAAAGGGCTGGTTCAGGCTCATATCCCCCATTATTAGGAGACCTCACTAGGATTGCCCTCATAGATTCCAGAAAGTTTCCACTGACTAGGTTTTCACATCGCCCCCCCCCTGCACATGCCCCAAATTCCAATACCTCCACCCCTCCCCCCACCCAATTCCTCCTGTTCCCAACCCCACCCATTCCCAGTTTACCCACAAAGTGGGTCCTCCATTCCCTTCCCAGAGAGAGTCATGCATTCCCCTCCCCCCTTGAGCCCCCCATGTCACTTCTATGGGAGTGTGGATTGTAGCCTGGTTGTCCTTTACTCAACAGCTAATATCCACCTACGAGTGAGTGCACACCATGCTTGTCTTTCTGGGTCTGGGCTACCTCGCTCGGGATGACTTTTTGTATTGATTCTTTGGGAATTTCCCTTGTACCCCGTCCTGCTTATTTCCAGTCCCTCCGTATCTGCCACTCACTCCCCCAGCAGCCCCAAGAGAAGAGTTTAAAAATATTAATTGAAAACAACAACAACAACAAAAACCACCTCACTCCTCCATCTTTCCAAGGCCTCTCCATTCACCTTAGTGGCTCTGGGAGCTGCGGTGTGTCATACCACTCAGCTCTACTTGACTTAGTGGCTCTGGGAGCTGCGGTGTGTCATACCACTCAGCTCTACTTGACTTAGTGGCTCTGGGAGCTGTGGTGTGTCACACCACTCAGCTCTACTTGAAAAGCTCATTGCGATGAGTCATTGGTCTGGTTCAAGGCCTCTGGCTTCTGGCACACCATCTACACTGAACCCTCACTACAACTCTTCTCAGATATCCTGCTGTTGCCCCAAGTCATGGATATCCTGTGGCTATGGTTCCTCAGGACCAGTTCCTTCACAAACACACTGGCAGGTCATAGCTGGGGTAGATGTTGGGGTGGGCTAACCCAAAGTCCTGGATGTGGATCTGGGTGGTTCCTGATTTGGTCAGTCTGGGCAACTGGGACTGCCCATCTCAGGCGAGGGGTAGAGCCATCTCTTATACACCCATGCCATCGGGGCCAGCTCTCCCACGCCATGGTGAGAGATAGGGCTAGCTCTCCCGTGAGGGGTGGGGTCACCCCTTCTGCTGCAGTGGCCAGCAAGGAGCAAGGCCAACTCTCCCAGGGCCAGCGAAGGTTGGTCCTAGCTCCGCACAGCCCTCAGATTTCAGCACACATGGTTCCATGACCTCCTGTGGAAACTTGGGCCATGGAGACCAACATAGACCCCAGCTACTGCAGGACCACAGACCTAGACATGGCCCACAGGAGCAGCTTAGGCCTGCATGACACCTGGGTCCTGGGTGGCAGCTCAGGTTACTCAAATTGGCATGCCCCAGCAGTAGCACAGCCCTCAGATACCAATGTGGCCACAGGCAGCAGCCCAGACCCCAAGCATCTGTGTGACCTTTTGGTGGTCACACAGGCCACAGATATCAACATAGACCCTGGCTGCAGTAGGACTATAGACCCAGACATGGTCCTTGGCGGAAGTCTGGGCCCAGATGTCACCATGGCCCCAAGTGGCAGGGCAGCACAGGCCACTCAAATAGGCATAGCCCAGCAGCAGCATGGACCTCCAACACCAACATGGCCATGGGTGGTGGCCCAGGTCCAGGCCCCAGACATCCGCATGGCCTTTGGTGATAACAAGAGCCATCAACACAGACCCTGTCTGCAGTAGGGCCATGGACCTAAACATGACCATCCAATGCCTGGACATGACTATGGTGCTGGGTGGCAGCACAGGCCGCCCGTATCAGCAGCCTGTTCCTCACGGCCTTCCCTTCAGTTCTGCCTCTCTCCACAGCACACAAGCCAGCCCTCTCTCTCTCTCTCTCTCTCTCTCTCTCTCTCTCTCTCTCTCCCATATATTTGCTCATCATAATGGCATCTACTGTTGGCCTATGAGTGTCTTCCACCAACCTGGGCTGTGGGGGACCCAGGCAGGCCTGCGGCTGTCTTCAGCCAGCCTGGGCCATGATCGATATCAATTTTTTTAACAGCTGAGTAATACTCCATTGTGTAAATGTACCGTGTTTCCTTTGTCCATTCTTTGGTTGAGGTACATCTAGGTTAGTTCCCATTTCTGGCTATTATGAATAAGCCTGTTATGAACATAGTTGAGCAAGTGTTCTTGTTCTATGGTGGAATATCCTTTGGGTCTATGCCCAGGAATGGTAATGATGGGTGTTAAGGTAGATGAATTCCCAATTTTCTAAGGAATTGCCATACTGGATTCCACACTGGCTGCACAAGTTTGTGGGAGTGTTCCCTTGCTGTACATACAGCGTGAGCTGTCACCTGTGTTACTGATCTTAGCCATTCTGAGGGGTGTAAGATGGAATCTCAGAGTCATTTTGATTCTCATTTCCCTGATGGCTAAAGATGTTGAACATTTCTCTAAGTGTTTCTTGGTCATTTGTGTTTCCTCCACTGAGAATTCTCTTTTTAGATCTGTACCTCAGTTTTTAATTGGATTATTTGGTCTGCTGATATCTAGTTTCTTGAATCCTTTATTTATTTTGGATGTTAGCGCTCTATTGGATGTGGGATTGATGAGTCATTTCCATCCCAGAGACTGCCATTTTGTCCTGTTGACAGTATCCTTTGCCTGACAGAAGCTTTTCAGTTTCATGGGGTCCCATTTACTGCCAATCTTAGTGCCTGCGCTATTGGTGTTCTATTCAGGAGTTGTCTCCTATGCCAATGTGTTCAAGGCTATATTCCCCTTTGTCTTCTATCAGGCTCAGTGTAACTGGGTTTATGTTGGGGACTTGAGTTTTGTGCAAGGGGATAGATTTGGATCTTTCTGCAGTCTTATGCTGTATCTATGGAATGAAGCCTACTTGGTCACGGTGAATGATCTTATTGATAAGTTCTTGGAGTCTGTTTGCAAATATTTTATTGAGTGTTTTTGCACATATGTTCATAAAGGAAATTGGACTGCAATTCTCTTTGTTGAATCTTTGTGTAGTTTGGGTATCAGGGAAACTGTGGCCTCATTAAATGAATTGGGCAATGTTTCTGTTTCTATTTTGTGGAATGCTTTTAGAAGTATCTCTTCTTTGAAAGTCTGGTTAGAATTCTATGCTAAAATCATCTGACCCTGAGGGTTTTGTTGTTGTTGTTGTTGTTTTGGTTTTAGTTGGGAAGCTTAATATCTGCTTCTATTTCCTTAGGGTTTATAGGTCGATTTAGATTGTTTATCTGATCTTGATTTAATTTTGGTAAGTAGTACCTATCCAGACATTTTCTCATTTCTTTTAGATTTTCCGATTTTGTGGAGTACAGTTCTTTAAAGCATGTCCTAATGTGACTGTCGGGATTTCCTCAGTGCCTGTTGTTATATTCCCCTTTCGTTTCTGGTTTTGTTAATTTGGATGTTCTCCCTGTGTCTTTTGTGGTGCTGGGTGGATGTGTGGGTGTCTTCAGCCACCCCAGGCTGCACATCTGTATTCTTAAAGACCTCTGTCTAGTGTCGTTTATCTTAATCCACATGAGGTTTTAATTACGTCCTATTTTTGTATAGTATCTTAACTTTACTTCACAAAATGCTGTTGTGTGTTTATGTATGTGTATGTCCGTATTTCTTGTTCTCATAGACTTGTATTCGGGTGGTTACAAAGACACATACTCATAACGCATTACAACGGGCACCAAAATGTACACGAGCTATCCCCACAATGCCTGACAACAGACAGGCAGTAAGTCACTAAGCAAGAGCCTCTGTCAGAACCGTGACTTCTGATGGATCTCATTCCTGAATGAGAGCGTAGGCTAATTTTATACACTGAGCTTTCAAAAACTAAGTGACCTTTCCTCTCCTGCAGTTTCCACACATGATGAACTCTAGCGCTGGTTTCCAGAGGATAAATAGGATGAAAATCTGCCACCTGCTGGGAATTTGTGAAACTGCTAAAACTAGTAGGACATTTCATTCAAATTATTGACATACTTTTTATAACCTTTATTTAAAATACTTGTAAAGTTTTAAAATAAACTTAATTTATATGGTTAATAGATTATTCCTTTTTTTCTGGTTGCTTATGATGTTGTTGTTGTGGTTACCAGTTAGTTTGATGTCAAATGTCCTGGAAGGTCTTTGAAAGTCTTTGAAGGCCCTCACTGGTGTTTATCAGATCATCAGCATCTTTTGGTATTCCAGCTTAAGTACATCCATATTTCCTTACTCACAGATTGCATTTAAAATTACAGAAATGCATGCTTTTTAAGAAAAATAACCTTGGCTTTCTCTACTAAAAACAAGTTAATTTTATACTTTATCATATTTAAATGAAAGTCATGTTGCACTGTAATCATTTATCTTAAATCATAGGTTTTAATCTTGTGCTGTGTTTACATTGTTCTAAATGTTTCTATTTCATAAAATGGTATGCACATCCATACATGTATGTGGTTTTCAAGACTGGATACTTTCACAGAAATTAAATAAAGGATGCAAACTGATTAGTCCTATAGAAACTAAGTAAAAGATTTTCCCTGCTGTGTTTAAGTAGATAAATAGTAATAGTAAACATTTTTTCACTATTCAAATGTTCTATACTTATAGCATCTTGGGACTAGAACGCTCTTCAAGTCATTTAAATCTCATCCTCTAAAGTGTCATCAGGATGTCCAGCCTGTGGCCCTTGGCTGCATTCATCCCAGGGTGTTAGCTCTTATGCGGCCTCATGCTGCAGGATGAGAAGGCTGAACACCTCTGATAGGTCTTCCGTAACCATGTGACGTCCTGGCTGCTTCTAAAGCTCTCCAGATTCTTCCTGAGAAACATGGTAGAGCTAGTGGTTGCCTAGTGCTCCAGGCAACCCCCAGGGTTCCATCGGGTGGAGTCCAGGTCATCTGGAAACCCTCCTGTGTAATGGGACCCTCTACCTCTAGAGATAGGCTGTCCGTCTGAGTCAGGCTTGTACACAGATTCCACACTGACGCAGAAGCCCTCTGTGCCTTGAGTCCCTTTAGCCCTTCAGAATTAATCATCCACTGTATCTGACAGAACATCTTAGAAAATCTGAAAACTACCCATGTTCGTCAGCTTTCTGTTGCTGTGACAAAGTTGCTGTAACAGCCTCATGGAAGAAAGGCTGCTCTCACCCAGGATTTCAGTCCCTGCTCACTTGCCCACAGTGCCTTGGGCCCATGGAAGCACAGTATGTCATGGGAGCATGAGAAGAAGGTGTGTGCATCTCACAGTGCTGGGAACCCAGGCTTTCATTTAAGATCCAAACCTGAACAGCATCCTTCCCTGGGAGTCCTCTCATTCCAATTAAAAGAACACCTTCTTCTCCCTCTTTGCTCACTGTTCTTATTACTTAAGACATTCAAGTTGTATTAACATATTTCATTTCTGCCTTAACATATCAGATTTGATAGTTCCCTTCTATCATCTGGTGATTCAAAAGACTAAATTTAAATTTGTATGTCTCATTTCTAGATGAATATACATATGAAAATCCAGATTTTTTAATTATGTATTTCTTTGCAAGGACATTCTTTAATAAAATGCTCAGTGCTGGATAGTTTTATGTCAACTTGACAAAAACCTAAACTGGTCTGAGAGAAGGAACCCTCAATTAAGAAAATGCCACAAGATGGGGCTGCAGGCAAGCCTATAGATAATTTTCTTAATTAGAGAGAGGTGGAGGCGGGCCCAGCCCATTGTGGGCTGGTGCCCTGCGTTCTGTAAGAAAGCAGAGTGAGCAGCCAGTCAGCAGTGTTGTTTTACTGCAGCACAGCGGCGGTGCCTGAATCGACAGCTGTCGCAGCTAATGACTGCGGCTCAGGCCGACGCTGGGTGGGACGTCTGTGTCCCACCTCCACCGCTGCTGCCACAAATGTTTTCACCTCCGTCTCTATAATCCTGTTTTACCAATAAGACTCGGGAGCCAGATGCTGGGGTGAAACCCCACCAGCTCAGAGAGTCAGGAAAACACACAGCCGCTTCCTCCGTTGTTGCCTTCCTGCAAAGAGAGCATCTCTTCAGCCACCATCCCAAACCAGAAGTCCCGCCCTCGTACTTCCTGTGCACTTTCTAGCTGTCTTCCTGACTTCCTCCCACTCTCTCTAGCTTTTTTTTTTTTCTAACGGTTGCTTGCACCACCTCTGGATCTATGGTTGGGTTTAGTTAATCTTTTAAAAGGGTTTGATAGGGCCGAACCATGCCACAACTAGAAAGGTTTTTCCAGTAAATAATGCAATCTCAGGGTTCACACTGTGATCAGATATCCTGCAACAAATCAGCACCTTCCACGGCCTCTGCATCAGCCCCTGCCTCCAGATCCCTGCTTGAGTTCCTGTCCTGACTTCCTTCGGCGAACAGTAAAGTCAAAGGGTAAGCCAAATAAACCCTTTCCTCCCCCAGCTACTCTGGTCATGGTGTTTCATCACAAAGATAACCCTAACTAGGACAGAAACTGGTACCAGGAGTAAGTTAATGCTGGGATACCGCTGATGATATTGTCTTAGACAGGGTTATGGAAGGACTTTGGAACTCTGGTCTAGAAAAACCATTAAGCATTGAGAGCTCAGTGGGCTGTTCTGTGGGAGCTTGGACGATAGGAATCTTGAGAGCAGTGCAAACGATTAGAGGCCTGGCTTGTGAAGTTTCAGGAGGGAGGAAAGACTCTGGGGCATTCATGTGAAGAATCTGTGGTGTCTGGTCAGCTGGAGCTGAAGAATTGGCTGTGGTTACCAAGAGACCAGAACCACTAAAGTAAAACCTTTGCTTTGCCAGAGCAATGGATGTTGGTCAGCTGGAGCTGAAGGACCAGTTGTGGTTCAGAAGAGACCAACATCACTAAGGTGAAGCTTCTAAGAAGTATTATCCTGAGAGTCCACACACAAGCTGTTTTTGGGGTGCCCTTGGTTGTACCATGTGCTGGGAGCCAACCGATAATGTGTAAGACTCCCAGGTGGTACTGGTTTTGAAGACATGAAGGGGTCATGGAGAACAGCTGAGGCTTGGCACTGTTGAGAGGCCACCCGTAAAGGTGCAGCCTCAGCAGCAGATGAAGTCTCCAGCTTGAAGGGGTCATGCAGAGAGGCTGAGGCTGGGCAACGTGAAATGGGCCCAGGAGAGGCTGCTGGTGAAAGTACAGCCCGGTTGTAGCAGAAAATCCCAACGTTTTGCACCGTGGGACAACGACCACCACCAGCAGCTGCGCAGTGGAGCCAGCCTGAGCCCAGAGGACAGCTGTGTTCATTGCAGAGTCAGAGGCGTGGCCCAAGCCCTTTGGAAGAGCCATGAAGACAGTGAGTTAATCACAAATACTGGACATTGAGTAATTTATGCTGTTGGAACTTTTTAAATCTTATTATGACTTCACCCTGGTTCTTCCCTCTTGAAATAAAGTATTTCACTTAGTTTTTTACTTTGTAGGAGCCCACACTTGACTTTTGGCTTTTAAAGGCGTTGGAGTTTTGGTTTTTTTTTTTTTTTTGAGACTTAATTTTTAGTATTTGACTTTGTAAGATTGTGTGCTGCAGAACATCCTTTTGTACACTGTGAATATGTGCTGCTCTCATTGGATTAATAAAGAGCTAATGTTCAATAGACAGGCAGAGGTTGCAGGACTTTGGACAGTGAAAAAGGGTGCTCGGGGGAGGAGTAGGTAAAGTCCCAGGGAGTCACCAGCCAGACACAGAGGAAGCAGGAGAAAAAGTGCCACCATGTGGTAGAGCATTGGTAAGAAACATGGGTCAGTTTAAGATGTAAGAGCTGGTTATTAACAAGCCTAAGCTATCAACCGAGCATTTATAATTAATGATAAGTCTTTGTGTGGTTATTTGGGAACCAGCTGGCTGGACAGAGATGACTGACAAAACACAAAAACTGCCTACAGTCTGTAAAATGGTTTACATTGTGATGTTTATGTTAATGTGGACCTTGGGGATGAACAAGAAAGGCTGTGGCTTTACAATATGTGTTTGTAAAACTGACAAGGGATGATTACGAGTGATAGTTTTGTGTTAACTTGACAAAAGCTAAAGTCACCTGAGAGGAATTAAGAAAATGGGCTGAAGGCAAGCCTGTAAGGCATTTTCTTGATTGATTGGTGGGGCGGGCCCAGCCCATTGTGGGTGGTGCTATCCCTGGAATGGTGGTCCTGGGTTCTATTAGAAAGCAGGCGGAGAAAACCATGGTAAGCAGCTCCCCTGCATTAGTTCCCGCCTCCAGGTTCGTGCCCTGACTTCTTCAGTGATAAAGTGATTTGAAAGCCCAATAAATGCCCTTTCCTCCCCAAGCTGCTTGTCCCGGTGTTTCATCAGGAACCCTAACTAGGACGTGGCCTAATTTAAATTCTATTATGTTACACTCGTTATGCCTCCAAAGTGCTAGGCCCTCGAGGGTCCCACCGCACAGAATTGACGCTTGGTTAGGATGCCACAGCAAATAGTGCAGGGCAGGCACTGTGTGACATTTCAACCGCAGCAACAAAACCTCCTGAAAAGGCACATTGCCTTTTGTAGCGGAGTCCTTTTCACTTCCTCCTCAAGGAAAACGCAATGCACTATGTAGGCTGGGAATCAGAATACTTTAAACTTTACTGTAAGTTTTCACAGCACTCAGATGAGCTTAGATGCAAATGGTTTTCTTTCGGAGATGCTCACCACTTAGCTCTAGTTCACCCTCAGGTCCCTAATGAGGTAAAAATCAAATACACTCTCATCCAAATACACTCTAACCCAAAGATACAAATCAGACACTTCATTAATATTGAAAATGGAGAGCTAGAGAAAGCTTGTGCCTCCATGCCAAGCCCTAATCCCAGCCCCTGCAGACTGCCTGGCTCTACCACTAACAACCTCCAGAGAAGCAGCAGTCATGGCAGGACAGGTGGTAACGGCAAGGCAGACCTTGCTTGGTGAAGACACGACTAACTCCTCTGAAAAGCTTTGCTGGTGTGTTTCAGCAAAGCAGCTCATAAAACTGACATCTTAGAGAGATGGACCCAAAACCTGTGCTTAGAACCCAAGTCTACGGTGGTCCCTAGCAGTTATCTTGACCACTGCTATTACTTTAATGGATTTAAGTGACTGCCAAGAACCAGTTGGTTACTTAAATTCTTATGCAACTAGGAAAATGGGACTCAAAGCAAATGAAGTAACAGACCTCTCATAGCCCAGTGGTTTCTGACCTAAGATCCCAGATACTCAGTCATCAAAAATCAATAGTGGCTTGAGATTAATGATGCTGACTCTTGAGGGAGAAGGATTTTTTTTTCTTTTAAGAATGATTACAGAAAACTTCGAAATTGAAGAAAAGTGAGAAATGGGCCCCAGTCAATAGAGGGATTTCCAATAGTGGGAGTCACCAAACTCCTTTGTCTAGGGCTCCTGCTTCTCTAGGGCCACGGCAGAAACTAGGCAAGCCCAGTAAGTGCATGGTGATTTGTGTCCTGCATCTCTCATGGAAGGATTTGCTCAAAAACAGGAAAAAACTGGAGTCCTTGGGATATGAACTGTAGACCTTAAGATCACTGTATACTTTCAAAGGACCCTGATGCCCATAGAGCCACTGAGAGTGAGTGGTATACAACCTTTCTATACTATCAAGGTTGCCGTTGCCAAGGTTACTACAATACAGTATATAACTGAAACAAAGCTGGCTTTGTTGTTGCTAGAAGTTTAACTGAGATATGCTTTGGTACCCCTTCCTGTAACCACAAGACAACAGGAGTACTAAGAGTTCAGATGAAGTCACCTGCTAGACTTTGACATTAAAATACAAGATTGTTTTAAGTCCCAGTTCCCTAGGACTTGGTGAGTTAAAGGAAAGAGCCTTGTTGTCAATTCAAGTCACTGATTTTGTGTGAAACAGACTTGTAAGATGGACCTCCTTAGAATTTTAACTCAAAGGTTAAACATGAATCAGAAGCAAGAAAGTAGTGGATATGACCATAAATATTTTTATTAAATGTGAAAATACACGGGCATAAAAATATTGCCCATATTCATAGACATGTATGAGTCCCAGTTGAAATAATCTTAATTCCTTTTTTATTAAAACACTAACTAGAGATGGATTGTTAGGTCTGTCCCATTTAAGACACATATAAACGTAAGATTAATAACTTATCCACATCTCTGATTTTTCCCTGTGCCCTGGATCCTCTGCACAGGAAAATATCCCATCCACAGACAAGTGCGATAACCCTGTTGTTACTGTACACAAAGCCACGCAGTGGCTAATTTTACTCTTAAATCATTCAGCAAATGAGATCATGTTAAAGAATCATCTCCCCCTCCAAACATCATTTGAAATCACAGAATGAATTCTGCCACTAACAGAAAAGGAATGATATGATCTGGTGGAAAAAGAGGTAAGTTCTTAAAAATCATTACTTGTCTTCTTCCTTGATCACTACAGGAATGTCAAAACCACTCAAGAAAACTGTCTTGACTTCTTACCCTGTGATGTGTACTTACTGAAATCACTATAAAGGCCATCGCCAGTGCCTGCATCTGAGGCAGGTGGGCACCCACAGTGGCCTGAGGAGTGGTTTCAAACCAGCCCATCTTAACTCTTCTTCACGCTAAGTAACTTCTGACCAAATGAAAGCCGTTACATGTCAATGTTACCTTCCAGGTGTAAATAAGGGAGGATGATGAGGACTGACATTTTCTACATAGTTATCAATGGGTCTAAGTTTGGTACTTTTAAAGTCAGGGTGACCTCCGCACGTGCAGCCCGCACATTCTGAGATGACAGTCGTAAGCCACCATCCTGCTTACACTCCTTGTCTAATCTGCATACTGCTACTTAAAAACAGACTCAACACTATTCAGAGTATTTTTAAATTAAGACATTACACCCAATTCACATTAAACTATGAAGATATTCTTTTTCCCAGTATTTGTCTTCTATCAGTAAACCTGCAGAACTGAGAAGTGAAGTCAAGTTGCCCTCTGGCAGCGTGTGATTTTTCCCACGTCCTGCAGTGATGACCACTGAATGCAACCCGGGCTAGAAACAGAATCGAGTTCTGCTAAGGAGAGCTTCGATCACATTCTCCCCAGAATTACCACAAAGGGTTATCTTCAGTTCCTAAACACAGAAACTGGAATAAGGAAGTGGAGAATTTTTCTTCAATAATTGGTTTTACGCAGCATGGTACACCATAAGTTTGTCACCAGGAGACTGCCAACAGCATCCAGGTCATCCTGATCAGTGTACTAATCAGCACAGAGATCTCCCTCTATGGCATCTGCCTTTGGCACGTGAGCAAGGCTAATCCTCGGTTACTTTGGGTAGTTACAAGTAGGAGAAACTCTCTAGGAAGCAAATTAGGAGGCATCAAATGAGATCCATGCAGCCCAACTCCAACCACAGTCCCTCTGGCCCCATGCTGCTGGCAGCTCTCTGCCTGCTCCACATGGGAGAGTGAGCTGCGCTGCCCGAGGCCTCCTGGTGCTACTGATGCAAACGTGCACTTTGGAAAGCACACAGATGCCATCGCTCTAATTCAAAACTGTCAGTGACATCATCAAAAGGAGTCAGACTAAAAGCAATTGTAAGTAGTTGATGTAAGATTATTAAGATCTGAAAAACACAAAAGTATTTTCATTTTTCATTTGCTGTTTCACATTGGTTTGAATTTGTCTGATATTTTGGTGGCTGCCTGGCCTGGAACTCACTCTATAAACCAGGCTGGCTTGCTTCTCCTCATCTCTAGTGCCAGGACAACAGTTACATGTTAGCACACCTGGCCTGATTGGAATTTTGGGACACTGAAGCAAAATCAAAGCTGAAAGGTATTTTGAAATGCATTGTTTATTGGTAAGAAATAGGCTCCTAAGTACAGGCAAAGAGCATGTAAATGTTTTGCCCAACTCAACTATGTGATTTATGTTCTTCCATTTAAATTTTTTTTCTCAGTATGCTCAAGGATATGACTATAGGTTAAGAAAATGATTTGTGCTTGGATGCTACATTCATGCCTCCCACAATTAACTAAAATGCTTAATTTCATAAAAACAATATATTAGACCTTTATACTTAAAATATTTCACAATGTTTCAAGAAAGAAGAAAAAACTTTCTAAAATAAAGGCAGTAATGTAATTCTTTAGATTTTCAATGCAGTATGAGTAGTTCATAAATCTATGTTCTTGATTTAGCAACAGATTTTTAGGGCAAAAAATATCCACTATACAAACCCTGACAGTACATTTCTTAAAGTGGTACCTGCTTAAAAAGCCAGAGGGGGTCTTCAGAAGGAAGTGAAATGTTATCAAGCACACAGAGAGAGCTGGACTGAGGTGCAAGCCTGTCCTTCTAAGCAGAGTGACAAACCAGGAACACCCAGTCCTCGTGAGGCAGATCTACTGACCAAGACAGACAGACAGACAGTGAGACGCTCGCTGCCTCACTAATATTGCTTAGGTGGGAATCACGACACTGTGTGCTTACGCTGACAAAGCAACTCTTCATTACTAAGTCAGTTTTGTGACAGGAACTTTGTATCAAACAACTTGGAACTCACTTGCTTAAAAAGTATTTCAAACTGACCGTCCACAGAATTGTCTAAAATACCACTGAGCTTCTCTCGTTTAACACTTGGAGGATCTGTAAGGTTTTACAATTAAACTCGTGAAACAACAAAAATATATGCTTAGCTTCAACACGCAGTCTACACCTGGACACAGCACTTACCACAGGATGGTGTGTTTCCTAAAGGTGGTCTCTACCCTTCCTGCAGCGACGCCATGATGACACAGGGACAGGAATAAGTACTTGCAAGTGACTGGGCCAAGCATAGTCGTCCCTAAGAAATACTGTTCACATTCTCTTAGGAATAGAGAGACAATCCATTCTCCAGGAGGCCACAGCCCCTCCTCATGGTCACTATGCAAGACTGTGTAGAACCTGTCTGCTCCGGGTTAAATGTGTCTATGTTTAATGCTATTTGAACACCACCATAAGGTAAACACCTCAGACCACATCCCCCTGGCAGTCACGAGATGCGCACAGGCTGCTTGGTCAGAAACAATGCCTCCTTGCTCCCACCTTGGCAGGCCCATCAAGTCTACACGAAGAACAGCTTTTTTTCCTTAAAACAACTCTTTGGTCACGGAAAAACTGAAAGTTTTGTTTGATTTTGTTTGTATCAGAATTGCAAACAGTTTTTGTTTTTAATGTTAAAATGACAATAATAAAGGAGAGGAGTGGTGAAACGGCTGCTTTAATTGAAGTGGAATTTGAATCGAAACGGCCCGCCTGAGCTGAAGGGATTGAAGCCTTGCCATGAGTTCCAGCTTCTGTGGAAGGGGTTGCCGCCGCCTCCCTGTTGACTCTCTGCGTCAAGAGGATCTTCTCCATCATCAAACTTCTTTCTCATTTCTAGAAAAGAAGCCAGCAAAGTTAAGACCCACACAGAAACCTAAAGTATGGGTATGAGGCTGTGATACTCAAATCCCACTTTCCCATTCCCATCCTGAAGAAAGGACTGCAAAGACAGGTCCCCAAGTCGTGTTCTTTATAAAACTACTTTATGTCACTACTCATCCCCCAGATGAGTCATCAGGCAAGAACCTCACACACCTCCAACTCCACAGAGCATCTAAGGAAATACTCTACACTCGGTATGGCTCGTTTTCCTCCCAGAATGTGCGATAGGCACACCAACACAGGATCAACAAGCAAGGATGGGGGCTCCCCTAACACCACTAATCCCTCAAGACCACCGACTATGGCCCAATCGTTACACTACATTTGAGGGACGGTGTAAGCATTTTGCATTTGATAACAGAACAGGTAAACGGTACCTACTGTGGTAAATAATGAGGTACACCTGTCTGCCTTACTAGATTACAAGTTATTTGGGACAAAGGATGACTTCAATTCTGAAATATAAATGGATACACAGGAAAGATTTGCTCATGGGGCAAAAACTTGATTTCCCTTGTTGACCCTTCCTAATTCAAATTAGAACACCCATCCCTACACATACAGAAAGCCACAAAAAGCAGTGTGTACCAATTCTTAGCCTGCCTCCTTACTTCACAGACTGGATCCACACGTTCACCTGTCTATGGGACTTAAGGCAAGATTGCTGCTAACATCCATGGGGCACAACAGGCCTAGCTAGAGGTCTACCCTCCTTTTGTAAGCCAGCTTGACACACTGGATTCCTTACCCGGGCCTTGTGACATCTGGAAATTGGGTAGGGAGAATCATCCATCACTGAGCTAGGAGGCTGGCAGGGGTCTGAGAGATACGCACGTTATGCTCAGTGTTAAAGCATAAGAAATGACAGGAACTTGTTCAAGTAGGAGAAAGGGTTCCACATTCAACAAGCTCTCACTGTACAATGGTGTAGTGCTTACCATTACCTGGGGGTCCCCAGACTCTCAGGTGGGAAGAGACTGTGAAACTGCGGGACTGACTACCAACCATAGTCCTGCTCACAGACCCTGCTCTACATTTCACCTTTGCCCTGCCTGGGGTGGAATAGGAATAGGACTAACTCATCACCAACTGTACTATCAAAGAGCACAAAGACACTGAAGCAGAGGTACCTGGGTCTGAGAGGACTTCTTTAGCAGCTGCTATGTCAATGAACTTTTTCTCTGCCTTTTTCTTTTCTTCTTCATTCTGGAAATTGTCTGGATGCCACTGAAGTGCTAATTTTCGGTATGCTTTAATGATTTCTTGTTTTTTGGCATTTCTGAAGGATAAGAAAATTTAGCAATTGTAAGAAAGGTCCCAGCCTACTTTCATTAAAAAAAAAAAAAAAAAAAAATTAGAAGAGCTGTGTTGGTAGTCCTCTTTGAGCACTCAGTGGGAGCGGGCTTGCCTCGAGTACATAAAACTGGAGGTTTAATCACACCACTGCAAACAAGTCCTGTAAGCTATGTGTATGTAAGGAGGCAGTGGAGTGTCACCTCATGACATACAGCTTTGTTTCCCTTGAAATTCCAGAGATCAAAGATTTAGCATGCTGTTCCAGACAGTCAACTTGATTTTTTCCTTTTGAGCCTTTTGGTGGGGGCAAACACTGAGGACTGAACCTGTTGTATACAAGGCAGCCACTAACACTGATCTAAAACCCCAGGAAAGCTTCTAGGGATGCATGCTCACTATACATCGCAGAACACAGTACAGGTCTTTACAGCTGTCCCCTGATCAATCTCCACACCACCGTAACTGAATTCTTCCTGGGCATTACAAAGACATTCTCACATCAGGATGGTGGTACACACCTTTAATCCCAGCAGTACTCTAGAGGCAGAGAGATCTCTGTGAGATTAAGGCCAGCTAGGTCTACCTAGTATCTTCAGGCTAGCCAGGGTTACACATGGAGACTCTACCCATCAATCAAATTACAACACACATATACACAAATCTCTGGGAACCCCTTGCTTTGAGTTGACTTAATACTAGTTAAGACCAAAGCTTAACTAACACTTTGGAACAAAAGCTGACAGTCTACTTAGAGAAAACGAGTCTTTTTTAGACAAACCCTTTAGGATTTATTTTATTTCACGTGTACAGGTGTTGCTATCATGTGTGTGTGATGACAAAGCTAGAAGAGATCAGAACTGGAGTTAGAGATGGCCCTGAGTGAGCATGTATGCACCGAGAGCTAATTAGAGCTGGGTCTCTGCAAGAGCAAGTGCTCCTAACCACTGAACCATCTTTCCAGCCTGGCAAATGGGACTTATAACAACAGTACAACTTTACTTTTAGACCCAGGGGAGGGCTTTATCTTCCTTCCTCCTACCCCAATGAAAACAAAGTGCACCTCTACTTTCTTAATCCTTCCCAAAAAGTCTGGGCCTGAGATGAATTCCCACCCCAGCCTTCATCCTCACCTTAGCGTCTCCATGACGCTAAGGGCTCTCAGAATAACACGTGACCGACATGACGCTAAGGGCTCTCAGAATAACACGTGACCGACATGACGCTAAGGGCTCTCAGAATAACACGTGACCGACAGGCTCTCAGAATAACTTAGCGTCTCCATGACGCTAAGGGCTCTCAGAATAACACGTGACCGACATGACGCTAAGGGCTCTCAGAATAACGTATAACTGAAATAACACGAGTGAACAAAGTGAACCAGGCTAAGACAAAAGAAGCAACAATCAGCTTTAAAACAATAATTCACCTTTTTACTCCCAAGATTTTATAATAGTCTCGTTTCTGTGACTGTTTCAGTAACCGCTGGGCTTTCTCTAAACCTTCCCGAATCTGCTGGTCATTTTCGTTGTGTTCCTGAGCAGCTTCATAATCCTGAATGGCTGTCAAAATACGTTTAGGAAAAAGCTGTTAGAGGAAATGCCGATTCAGTGTGAATTATGTATTCCACCAACTTGGTACTAAGTCCTCACTGTCAGCCCCTTCACTCACTACTGCTTCTCAGAGCCTAAATGGTGCCACGTTCATAGTTTTGTTCAAACTTAATTCATAATTGAGGCAAAGTTCTCACTCCTGTTTGACAGAGCTCACTGTGGTTGGTTTAATTATCTATTCTCTCCCATCTCCCTACACCTCCTTCAAGGTATTTTAATATTGTACAAAGCTATCTTACTACCACTAAGACATGAATGACCACTGCACAGCAAAGAAAGTAAAGTGCTTGGTAAGAAAGTCCGCATTAACATCTATGTTGATAGTTTGGAAGAAACAAAGGGTACAAAGGGAGGAACCATCAACTCAGTGCTGCCAACATGATGGCACTGTCAATCAAAACCAAATATATATGAGTCTGGAGGAAATCTACACATTCTATTTTAGAGTATTTGGGTATCTAATATGCAAAAAGGATCAAGGTAGCAGGCCTGAGATTCATCCTGTCAAAGTCCTACCAGGGAAGATTATTCATGGCCAGGTTTGGGATACTGGATTTCAGGAACAGGCTGTCGGGCTTGGCAGCAGGTACCATTACCCACTGAGCCACCTGACCACCCCCAACTGCCCAGTCTTTTACACCACACTTATTAAGTTACAGTATGAATGATTTTCTTACTATAAAAAGTACAGAATTGTTGTTTCCTATATTCATATAATTGTAAGTAAAAATTAGAACCTAAAATACTTCCCATAAATACACAGTAGATCAGCTATTTTTGTCACATTTCCTCAGATTCCACACTCTGAGAGGTAATCTTTTTAAAAAGTAAATAATACAAGCCTACCTCAAAGCCTAAGGAGCACTATGTAAGAGATGGAGGGAGACTGTAGGAGCCAGACGCTGGGAGGAAGACTATAAAATGCTGTCTCCTGGACATGACATAGCTGTTGCACTCATCGACTCGAGCAGCATGGTGACCACACAAAATCAAGCCAGTCCACACTGCAGCATGGATGAGGGAAAGACTCCTAAGTCGTCATCCCTGTCCCCTCCCCTCCACCCCCCCAGCTGAGGAGCTGGTAAAAGCCGGCGGCATCTGGAGAGTCATCTGTTTTCAAGTCTGTAGCCACACACCCATGAATATCCACATGCTCACACAAGCAACCTTTAAGTCAGTGTGCCATTAAAAATTACAATAAAATGATACAAGGAGGGGATGTGTTGGGAAGAAGGTTCTAGACGGAGTGGAGAGAGAGGAGAATGGATGACGGATTAAAACCATGTGAAGTCATCAAATAAATTAAAAACTTAGCAAAAATCCCAAATGTTCATAAAGTACTATCAAACATGTGGTAAAAACACAATACACTTCACAATGAACATACTACTGTGTATGCTCCAGCACTGCCTTCTAAAGGGCCTCATAACATCTAGGAGTAAGCGCTCTTAGCTCAACCTGGTGAGGTAAGCAGCTATCCTAACATTGCTAAAGTTGGGAGGTCACGGGATCATTTGTTAGACAAATGTATATGCATATATGTATTGCTCAATTCTGAGTTTATATGCTTAGGAGTCACATATGAACATAAACATGTCTGGAAAAATAAATAAACAATGATTACCTCTGGTTGACAGGAAATCTGTAATTTTTTATTCTTCTGTTCATCTCTCCTAACTGAACTGACTACTAAACTGGTTTATATTCCAGTGAACTAGTTTCAACAGAACCCTGTCCTCAGATGCTATACCTGTTATGGCCCACTAAGAAAGAATAATTACTAACTTCTCAAATTCTTAGCCATTCTCAAAATAAAATGCAACTGAACATGCGTTGATTTCCTACAATTTAAGCTTTAGCTACTGAAGTCAATTCCTTCAAAGTTTACCTTCGTCATACATTTCCTCTATTAAATAGGCCTCTGCTCGGTCTTTCAGAGCGTTCACATTGTCGGGCTCCATCTGTAAAACTTCAGAACATATTCTAATGGCTTCAACAGGTTTCTCATCCTAGAAGTCAATGTAAGACAGGAAAATACAGGCTGAGTGCACCTCGGTGGTGAAGTGCTTACCTATCACACACAAGCTCCCGAGTTCAATGCTCAGTACCAAAAGATAAATAAAAATAAACACTGCAAACCAGAGATGGCTCAGTGAGTGTGTCTATGATGAATGGGCTCAGTGAGTGTACGAACGATGAATAAATGAAAAGACTTTGCAGTGAGTGAAAAGTGGCTGTTATTCCATGTCAAGTACTCAGGTTACCTTGGAGAAGCAATGACAAATTCTCTCTTTGGAGCGCACGGTATACTCAGCAACACTGGGCTCTGTTTTCATGACAGATTCGTATTTGCTGGTTGCATCTGTGTATCTACAAAACGAGCAACCGAGGAGTCATGGTGAAACTATTTCCATAGCTGTAGAAACCACCCTCCCGTTTCACTATGTATTGCTTAACAAACACAAACGAATGAGCACAATACAGCCTTCAAATACAACTCCTCTAACCTTGAGCTCAGTCCAGAGAGGAACCTTCACCACATGGGCATGGGGACTGGGGGCCCGGTGGGAAGGAGGGTGGTCAGATGACTCAGTGGGTAAAGGTGTTTGTCAGAGACTCACGTGGTAGAGAGACCCATACATTATTGTACAGGACATGCACTTGCCTGTACACACACAGACGTAGTAACAACAATCTAAAACATGGGGCAAGGCCATGTAAGTGGTTGAAAGTTAATGAAGGAACTCAATGCAGCTTCCAGGATTACATCATCCACACTGAAGTGAAACCAGACTGGGAGCTGCTTTAGGGTCATCCCTGCATCTGTAAGCCCAATAAGCGTACCAGTTCCTCACACGAACCTCAGTGTTCCATCACTGGCAAACACCTGCTCATGTTTCCCCAGAAAAAGTTCACAAAAGAGGAGACTGTGTGTGTGTGTGTGTGTGTGTGTGTGTGTGTGTGCGCGCGCGCGCGTGCAAGCGCACGTGCGTTCGTACAGGGGGTGTAGGAACAGCACTGGAGATCAAGCCCTCGAATATGTCAATCATGCTACCACTGAGCTGTAGCCCCAACTCCAAAGATTTGCACATGAAAGCAGCAGATTCAATGGGTTAGCTTCAGTGCATGAACACCTAAATAAAGTATAGTAGATACTAACACTATGGAAAATATTAACCAAGAAAGAGGAAATGGTAAATACCCATAGAAGGGTATGGGATTCCAAGATGTTACCGTTTGCAAGACACTGACTGGGGAACTTGGTAAAGCCTTGTCAGGACAGCTACAGAGAAGTGAACAGGGAACTCACAGTCGCCTGACACTAGGCAGTACTGTCAGCAAAGTTCACCTCTCCTTCCCAGCCTATCAGCCCCCGACACCCATTGCTCAAGTAACTCCTACTTTAAGATGAGAATTTTGATGCCTGCCACGTCCCAAGAGCTTTTATCCTGGTCTTCATGCTCAGCCTGGTGAAGGACTCTGCTTTCCTGCTCCCACTCTAGAACTCTGCCGTCAACACTCTGCACTAGCACTTTATACTGACTCTGCATGAAGCTAGAAACCGAGAGACTAAACACTGTAGTCACATTTCTGTACTCTCAGTATATAGTCCAGTGCCTGACACACAAAGTAAGAAACCCGGAAATGCCACGATGCTGCTAGGAACAACACTCTGCAGTTACTGCAACTTACACTTTGCCTGCTTCGTGTAACAGCATATAATCCTGGCGCTCAGTGAGTGCTGTCTAGCCCCTCACCTGGCAGGTAAGGAAAGGCTCTTACCTGCCCTCTCTGATCAGCTCTTCAGCTGACTCGATCAGCTTATTAAGTTTCTTAACTTGCTTATAGTGTGCAAAACACCTTTTGTGATCCTGGTCAAGTTTCAGACATTCACGGACTTCGCTGCTCATGGAATTTAAAAAAGAAACACCACAAGTCAAAACCATTCAACACTTCTCCACATCAAGTAGAGAAATCACCATTAACAAATGCTGACTTCATCATTTGCTATACACATTTATGTATGACATCACGTCATAGACACAACGATTCAAGTGGCATGAAGTTACACATTAAACACTATGTTTTGGTTTAGTAAAAGCATGCTCACTTACTTTAGTTAAGAATATTTCTTGAGGGGGCAGGAGAGATTGCTCAGTGGTTAAGAGCACTGACTGCTCTTCCAGAGGTCCTGAGTTCAATTCCCAGCACCCACATGGTGGCTCATAGCCATCTATAATGAGATCTGGTGCCCTCTTCTGGTGTGCAGGCATACATGGGGGCAGATTGTTTTACACATAATAAATAAATAAATCTTTAAAAAAAAAAGAATATTTCTTGAAAATAAACTGCAGAATTTACATAATACATAAGGGATAATGTAATTTATTAGGATGGATGTTGATATTTTTAAAAATCCTTAATATTTCTATGAAGATAATATGAAAACTGTAGGAAGATTAGCTATGGCTGTCTTGGGAGCTGACCTGAGGGATAACTCATGGTCTCCTAGCTGATAGTAGAGCGTGCTGATTCTGTAAAACGCCTCGGTGTTACCGCTCTTCAGCTTTGCAGCAGCCTTTAAGTCGCTGATGGCTTTCCTGGGTTCTCCTTCCTTCATGAAACAGTCAGCTCGAAGTTCACGCAACTCTGCATCCCAAACACAAACCTTGAGAAACAGAAGAACTAGACTTTGAGAAACAGAGGATGCACAGGGATCCTGTCCCCCCCCCCAACATCCCATCTACATATTTACACACAACACACGCTCAGCTAACATGATCAAGTCAGTATTCTATAAATGGTGTTTCAAATCCTGATATATATAAATGTGACAAACAGAATGTGATAATTTCTCAAGTGTGCTTTTTTAAATCTGAGGGAGGAGATACATACACAGCATGTTACTAAATTATTTGTTGTAAAATGTTACATCCTTGCTTTCTAGATATTAAATCCTCATTTTAAAAAAGAAAAAAATTAACATGGAAGACTTCACTATTCCTGTTTTATGAAAAGTCCACTACACTCACTGAACACAGCAGATTCTTCCAGAGACCCCAAGCTCACCAACAGGGCCTGTACATTGTTTTCCTCAGAGTTTCTAACATTATGTCAACTTTTCATAAACTTTTATATATGTGTGCATATGTACACATATACATATGTACACATACATATATAAACTGAAATCAATACTAAATATGAATTAAATACTGACAATGAGATAGGCCCAAATGGACAATCTAGCAGCAAGAAAGTGAAAATTATAGTTTTATGTTTCTTTAATAAACTATAAATAAAATAATTTAGTAAAGCAAGACTTCTGCACCACATCACATGATTCCCTCTGTAAAATTATCAAATAAGGGCTAGCACGATGGTTTAGTAGATGAAGTGTTCCCCACATAAAGGTGGAAGAAGACAGCTGACTCCACAGGATTAATCTCTGGCCTCTACAGGTGCATCACAGTACACACAACCACACACACCATCTCATACACACAAATAATGAATTTTAGATTATCAAAGAAATGCCCATTTTCCACATATCACATTATTGACTGCCAATAATAAGTCAAAGAGCTGTGAAAATGGTAACTATATTGATTATTTCCATTTAGGCTTTCTTCTGAAATCATCTGCCATTAAATCCTCCTGAGGCAAGGAGACCCTAAACTTTATGCTTCCTATTAGAACAATCTGTATCCGGGCACTCTTTCTCTGCTTACTCTTCTAGAAATTTCTCATTTTAAGCATTTTTCTCTTTCCAAACACCATGTTTCCTTTTTCTTAAAGTAATTCATCTTTTACCTAGCATAATATTTATCTATCATGATATTCTCCAAATTTAAAAGGGGGAGCAAACCAAGCAGTGGCTGAAATATGTCCTTCTTGGCCAGGTGCAGTGCTGCACAGCTTTAATCTTGGCACCTGGCAGGCAGAGTGAGGAGATCTCTGTGAGTTCAAGGTCAGCTAGGGCTACCTGGAAGACCCTGCCTCAAACAACAACAACAAAACATATCGTTCTCACTTCACAGCACACCAGCTTTTACTAAGAACCTTCCATTACAGGAAGGTTACAAGGACCAATCAGCTAAAAGCCCTTCTTGGTTTTGGCCATATCTAAACAATATGCCTTATTCTAAAAGCTGTGCCTGGTTCATCAGCTGCGGGACTAAGACACTCACCTCCAAAATCATATCAAGGAAGCTTATAGCAGCGCTGTAGTCGGCACTTTCGAAGGCATCAAGGGCTTGTGAGCGCAAACGCTGCATCTCATCTGACTTGACAAGCTGAGACTGCGCTTCCTTCTCTTCATTTTCACTTGGATTAGACTTGAGCTACAAGCAGAACAATGAAATAAGCAAGCCTTAATCTCTAAGTCCAGCACCTACAGTCTACACGCAGATCTGGTCATTCGAAACACCATGGCACAGACACGGCACAGCACAGAGCTGCACAGCAGAACCAGGCCACGCCCAAATTCTAGCCCATCAAACTGAGATGATACAAAGGGTGGCTTACTTCAGTTGGGTTGTTCGTTATACAGTAGCAGGTGACTGTATAAGCAGGTTTTGCCCTTTCTCACTGACAAAGTTGTGACTATTTCTATGCATATTCTCTGACTGGATGGTGTTTGTGGCACGGTCTGCTTGTCACAGTACAATGCAGAGAGTAAGTCCGTGCTCTCCTCCTTCCTGCCAGCATCAGGGCTCCAGGGACTGAACCAGGCTTGACAGCACGTGGCTTTACCCACTGTGCCTTTCATCAGCCCCTTTATGGTTACTTGAAAATAAACCCTAAATGAATACGTTACTTCCCCAAATCCTACATTAATTGCTTTTCTATATACTGTGCATATTCTATATACTTTGACAACAGAAAAACAGTACCGCGTATCTGGGTATTGCTAGTATTCCCAAGTGGAACTACGGGCAGACACGGTTAAAGTGTAGGTTTCCTTTCAGTGCTGGGGCCTGAGCGCAGGGCCTCACTCATGCTAAGCCTGTGCTCCACCACTGGATTATACTCTTAGCCCTTTGTGACAGCTCTGTGTCAGTATGGGGAGCTGTAGCAGTCACGGACTCCCTTCCCCCAAACGTGCAATCCTAGGTGCAACCCCAGCCCTGGAAACAACTCAACACACAATGAGGAAAGGTTACAAAAGAAATCCTTTTCCCCTTGAATTACACATCAGCCAACTGTAAAATGTGGACATGCTCTATTCAAGTGAGTTACAGCAATTAAAGTCCCCAAATATGACTGGTAATAAAGGCGGAATTTAATGGGGCCCTAATGCTTATCTGGGTAATCTGAACTTTTAGGTTATGCACACACAAAGTAAAGGCAAGTGACATACTGGGGAGAGGTTATGAACATGTTATCAGAAAGGCATAAATAAATACTTAAGTGATAGCAGTAAGTTACACAACTCAAAAACAAGAACAGCTCTAAGTAAACAGGCAAGTCGTTGACAATGAAGAAATCACAAGCAGGTACATGGGATCACACTCCACACCACTTGCTGTCAGGGGAAGGCAATGGAAACCACAGAGCTGCCTACCAACTTACCCTCATTAGGAACACCACTGCAGGGCTTAGATCTAGAATGTTACCTCAAAGGTGGGGGGGTGGGGGTGAGGGGAGGTCCCTGCAAGCATCATGGCCTTCATCAAATCCATGTGCAGAGAGGGAAGAAGGAAAGCCCTGCTCGGCCCCACTTAGTGCTGGTTCAAACTTCTGGAGTCTGACACCAGGTCAGATTATTTAAATAAGGTTCAATTTTCGGGGAAAATGTTTCTTGGTAACAATTATACCAATGCCATGTGCGTGGTAAAGCTTTTTGCATAGTCCATGTGACATCCCCTCTAAGGATGGTTCTGCTGAAGGAGAAACAAGCTGAAGATGGAGGTCTTCCGACAGCACTCTGGGGGGTTCGGCTGACATCTGGCTCTACAGACAGTCAAGGTCACCAGGTGTTTAACAACACCCACTGCCAGATTTCCGGGTGGAAAACAGGTATTCATTGCTTCAGTTAAGGAGAGAACCCTGAGTGACTAACATCCTGGTTTCTCCAATGCTTGTCTGGGCACCCTCATCACCTCTACTAATAGTCCCACGTGTTAAAGGGACTGCTGACTAACCCTTGGCTTCATACACTGGAAACCGTCAGAGACAGGGGCCAGAAGATTGAGGCCACTGGAAGCACTCTGCAGGGCTGTGAGCCGACTGTTTCCTAGAAAGGCTTCCCTCACCATGATGAGCCACATCACAACAGGGGCGACAACAGGGGCCAAACAGCCAGGGACTGAAACAGGACAAACAAGCCACTCTTCTTTCTAAGCTATCCCATGTACTTTGTTATAGTCAGAGAGAATACCCAGCTAACACAGCGAGCAGAAAGTAGGTGTCTGTTGTAACAGAAAAGGAACCCCACTGGCAGAAACATAATTTTAGGAAACAGTATGTAGGTTTTGAAAACAGTTAAAAATACAACTACTATATGACCTGGTAATCTTCTCCCTGGATAATAGGGAAATGAAGCCATCACTTTGTAAAGCTACCTACACTGTGCACAACAGCCAAGATACAGAGACAACCTATCTACTGTTAGCCCTGCGATGTCCCCATGGCTGTGTTCAGTACAATCTCTGAAAGTTTAAATTCCTTCCAAATGATGTGTGTGTGCTCAGTCACTACTAATAGAGAGTTTATTAAATAAATTACCAAAGATTGAAACTTGATTTTAAAATTAAATTGCAATTGGCAGTTATTTACTAAACATCAAATTTTTACTATAACCAAAATACAGGTTTTCCTTATATGATGTTGGTAAGAATGAAAATCAGTAGAGAGCCACTGTGGAAACAGTTTGGAGGTCTTCCAAAGGCTAAAAAATAGACCTAAATATGATCCAGTTATGTACATATTTGAAGGAAAATAAGTCAGCATACAGACACCTGAATGCCCATGTCCGCTGTGACACTATTCACAAAGGCCAAGATAGTCAGCATAGATGCTCACCAACAGATGGACGGATTAAGAAATAAATGGTATATATACACAATGGAGAATTACTAGTCATAAAGGATGAGGCCATGCTATTTGCAGACTGGCTGGCCAGAAGGTTCCAAGATCAGCCTTTCTGCACTCCCCCAGCACTCAGAGCACAGGTGCACAATGTCATGCCAGCTTCGACACGGTGCCAGGTCCTCGAGGCACCAATAAGCACCTGACCCATTTCAAACATCTTCACAGAAACAGGCACATCATCCATCAAGTTAGTACACAAATCTGCCTTCCTCTTGAATAAATGGTAAAAAGACATGGACACCAAAGAATTGTTTTAAAATAAATTCCACTACTCATTGTCAGTAGGTGTGATGGGGAGGTCTTTCTGTGTATATGGTTGTCTTATTGGTTGATAAATAAAGTACTGTTGGCCAATAGAAAAGCAGGTTAGGCAGGATGAGAAGTCAAGGAGGATTCTGGGAAATGTAGTAGAGAAGTCTTGTAATACAGGCAGGAAGTGACATAGCAGGCAGGCCCGTATATAAGCAAGGGCAAGAAGGAAGTCATTCCTTTTTTTCTTCCTCTTGCTCTCTGCTCTGGAGCTGCCATGTGATCCCGGCATAAGAAGACACCAGCAACTGGCATCCAATAAGATAATATTTATGAATGATACTTAAGACTGAGCTAGCAAGTAAGAAATCCTAGTCAGTTGGCCAAGCAGCATTTGTACTTAATATAAACTCTGTATGTTACTTGGGACCTTAACGTGGCAGCGGGCAGAACTCGGGTGGCCTGGCAAAAAGCGTACACTCGCCAGCGGGCCTTGGGCATAAAGACTTATCGTTACATAGGTGTGTGTTTGTATGCCTGTTTTATACATACGTATACCCAGGATTATGTAACAAGCTATTGGGTGAAAGGGTCACTAGGAAAAGTGTTCAAGAGGCCCTGCTTAGAGTCCATGAAGCATGTTTCAGTGACATTTCTAGACTCTCACGTAGGCCACGTTAAAGTAAGTGGGCCTCCAACTGAATAGGATTGTACATCAACTGTGCATTTCATCTTCCAACTGTTGACACAATTCTTTGATGCCAGTCATTAAATCTTCATTTAGAAACTGTAATTCATATATATATATATATATGTATATATGTATGTATGTATGTATGTATATGTATGTGTATATACACACACACACACACACACACGCGCGCGCTTCTTTTTTAGCTATAAAATTACCATTAAATACCTTATTGCAAAGAAAAATCAATTCTTTGTCTCTGAATGACACACTCCCGGCACCAGCACTTACCACTCTCTTGAAATCCTCTTCAGCTTCATCAAGTTTCCCTTGTTTGAGTAGTAAGTGGCCTCTCTGTAACCTTGCCTGGGAGGATGAAGAGGGGCTGTCCTAAGTACGGGGATTTCTAAATGTTCTTTAAACACAAAGAATAAAATTAAAAATGTAATCAACTTACTAGTATCCATTTTTCCATGTTTGACTTAGCACTAAGACTAATTCCTATAGCTTCAGAATGTGTACAACTTTTATTAAAATATGTTTTCTCTAAAAGTTGTTTGTTCAACCCAAAGAAATCATAAGCAAGGTTATTGGATGAGGAGGGCTCTCTTTTGTTTGTTTAAGATAAGGATTCTTCTGAGAGTGTAAGAATGTCCTGGAACTAGACAATGATAATGACTATACACTCAAAAAAGAACCACAGAAAAGTTTAAAATGTGCATTTTATGGCACAAAAATTGTAAACATTTTTTTTAAACGAGGCTGGGTATCAAACACAGGGCCTCATAAAGGTGAATGACACCAGGTTCAACCTTCAAGCAACATCCCAGGCGCTATATATTAATTTTAAAAAATATTTTTGACCTCATTCCAACTTTTTTCCGCTTAAAGTTGCAGAGACCATCAAAGCTCCAGAAATAGGTTTGCTTTCCATTAACCCTTCAGTGTATTTACTATAATGTCTGATATTCCTCTTACTCTAAACGTATCATCCCAGTTCTTGGCAACACACACCTATCTCTGATGACTAATTCCTTCTAAAACAGAAACGACACTGACATTCCAGCTCAGTTTATGTATTACTGTTACAGAACATAAAGTTTCCCTCATCCTCTATTAAGTACACACAAAAAAAGGACAATTAAGGCCATTTCAGCTAGCCAATTAATAATCACACTGCTAAGAAAACAGGTTGCTTAGCCTCTGTGAAAGCTGGCAGTCAGCTGTAGCAAATCAAGTCAACAAAAATATGGCAGTTGGAAATTTTATCTTAAAACAATAACACAGCAATATTTCAAATCAAACACACTACACAGTCAGCTCAAATCCTTTTAGGAATATAGGAAATATAAACAATGTCTACAACATTAATTAGTTAATTAATTAGTTAATTGATCTGAAAGGCCCTTGTGAGTATTCTGCTGATGAAAGTCTTAGATGAGAAATACTCCACACAGGTTCAGGTATTGAATCCTGCCATTCTGGAATCAGTGAAGACTGCAGGCGGCAGGGCCTACCTAAAGGAAGCAGGGCACAGGGTACCCTTGGGTTAGGGGCCTTATCTTATCCTGCTCCCTCTGTGGTAGCCTGTCTCACCACAGGCCCACAGTCAGGCAGCCAAGGACTGCGGACTGAACCCTGAAAGCTCTGAAGCCATGAGTCAAAGCGAATCTCTCTTAAGTTGTTGATGTCAGCTACGTCATTACATTGATGAAACTCATGCACCACCACAGTCCCGGTACAACCGTGACAGGCAGGCCACCCACAGGATGGGAGACGGAAGCTCCTGGACCTCCAAAGCTTGTGTGCGTGCGCACGGCCTCCAGGGAGAGCCTGCTGACACTGCTCGGGACCCACAGAGCAGCTGCACTCTCCCTGCCTCACGCTGCAGTGACTGACCGCTGTCAGGCTGCAGAATCCTGTCACTTCAGCCTCAGGTCTCTCTCTCCATGCCCTGAATTCCATCCTTCACACACATCTGTCTTTCTAAACCACAGAGCTAATACCGTCAGGCTTCTGGAAAAAATATCACTTAGTATACCCTGTTACTCTTCCATACAAACCCTTGTCTTGGTTTTGCTTTTGCTGAGAAAGGGGCCCTCTGCATAGCCCCGACTGTCCTGGAACTCATTATGTAGACCAGGCTACCCTTGAGCTCAGAGACAAGCATGTCTGCCTCCAGCAGGCCTCTGCCTACCATGTGCCTACCATTAAAGGCATGAGCACAGGCTTAATTCCAAGCTGTTATTACTGCTGTTACTGAGACAAAATCTGTCTACGGTACTCAAGCAGACCTCAAGAGCCTGGGCTCAAGGGCTCCTGCCTTTACCTCCCAGCTGGCTGGAACCATAGCTATGTGCCACTAGGAAGAACAAGTGGAACAGTTTGAACTTCTCATTTGCCACCCCACACATGACAGCTTCAGTACCTTTCAGCAATGCCAAGGGTGCCAATACTCACTACGGGAAACCCATCACCCCTTCCCATTTCCCTTCAACTCCCCATTAAGCAAGTTTAGGTGCACTTACTGCAGTGAAATCCATCTTCAGTTCAATCACTTTAGTTAAGTCGGGCAGTGCGGCTTTGGATTTCCCCATGGCTAAGAAGACAGTAGCTCTGCGATAGTATGCAATGTAGTTGTCAGGATCACCATCTGAAAGTGGAAGTAATACATATTAACTTTCTGTAACTTATTCTTGACAAAGTCATCTCAGAGAATTCTATTAACAATGACAGGCAGACCCTTCCTTCCCCCTCCGCCTCCCTGACCTCTCCTGAGTCCTACACCAGCCCAAGGTCCCCATCACCCCAGAATCTCTCAGCTGCACAGAGTGGTCCCGCCTGCATAGAATGGACCCGCCCAGACAAGAAGGACCTCCATGAGTCTGGAAACACCTCACTCTTCCTTCCCCCTCTGCCGCCACAAACTCTCCTGAGTGAGGAGACTACCAGGAGAGGCAAGGTCCTGGCCCATACATACCAACGGGTGACAACAGGAGATAGAGACACCCCCCTGCCTCCACTGGAAGAAGAGATGGGAAGAAGGCAGAATGAGAACACACTCAACAGAAAGACCGACATGACACCACCAGAGTCTAGGGACTCCACACCAGCAAGATCTGAAAAGCACAACACAGAGGAGGAAGAAAAGACAGACCTAAAAATCTACTTCACGAAGGTGTTCAAGACCCATAAAGAAGAAACAAGAAAATCTCTTAAAGAAATAGAAGAAAAAACAAACAAAAAAATTCAAGAAATAAGTAATTCTCTTAAAGAATCTAAAGAAAAAACAACCAAACAAATGAAGGAAGCACTGGAAACAGTTTCAGGATATAAGGATGTGAGTATAACCAATAGAATCCAAGAGATGGAAGAGAGAACCTCAGGTGCTGAAGACTCGCTGGAGGATAGACAGTCACTGACCAAGGAAACCTCAAGTCCAGCAAATCTCTAACACAAAATGTCCAGGAAATATGGGACACCATGAAAAGGCCGAACCTAAGAATAATAGGTATAAAAGAAGGTGAAGAAATACAGCTCAAAGGTACAGAAAACATACAACAGAATCATAGAAGAAAACTTCCCAACCTACAGAAGGATATTCCTATGAAAGTACAAGAAGCTTACAGAACACCAAACAGACTGGACCACAAAAAGAAGTCTCCTCGACACATAATAATCAAAACACAAAACTTACAGAATAAAGAGAAAGTATTAAGAGCAGCAAAGGAAAAAAGTGAAGTAACATATAAAAGCAGACCAATCAGAATCACACCGGACTTCTCAATGAAAACTGTGAAAGCCAGAAGGTCCTGGATAGCTGTCCTACAAACACTAAGGGAGCCTGGATGTCAACCCAGACTACTTACTGTACCCAGCAAAACTTTCAATCACTATACGTGGAGAAAACAAGATATTCCATGACAAAACCAGACTTAAACAATACATATCCACAAATCCAGCACTAGAGGGAAAACTCCAACCCAACGAAGATGACTACACTCACAAAAACGTTTACAGGCAATAGATAATCCAACTTTACCAAGCAGGAAAAGAAACAGGCAGGCAAAATCCATACACAATGACACTACCAACATCAAATCCAAAACAAACAAGAACCAATAATCAATGGACATTAATATAGCTCTATGTCAATGGTCGTAACCTGCCTGTAAAAAGATACAGGCTAACAGAATGGATATGAAGACAGAATCCATCCTTGTGCTGTACACAAGAAACATACCTCAACTTCAGAGAAAGGCATTACCTCAGAGTAAAGTGTTGGGAAAAGATTTTTCCAATCAAATGAGCCCAAGAAACAAGCTGGTGTAGCAATCCTAATATCTAACAAATTAGACTTCAAACTAAAATCAATCAAAAGAGATGAAGAAGGGCATTTCACACTCATCACAGGAAAAGTCCATCAAGTTGAAGTCTCAATCCTGAACATCTATGCCCCAAATATGAAGGCACCCACATTCGTAAAAGAAACATTACTAAAGCTCAAACCACACACAAAACCACACACACTTATAGTAGGAAACTTCAACACCCCTCTTTCACCACTAGACAGGAGTGCCAGACAGAAACTTAACAAAGAAACAAAGGATCTATCAGTCATTATGACCCAATTGGGATTAACAGAAATCTATAGAAAATTCCTTCCAAACACAAAAGAATACACCTTCTCAGTGCCACATGTAACCTTCTCTAAAATTGACCACATAGTTGGCAACATAGCAAACCTCCACAGATACAAAAAATTGAAATAACCCCCTGTATCTTATCAGACCACCATGCTTTAAAGTTACAATTCAACAGCAATACAAATTGCAGAAAACCTACAAATTCGTAGAAATTGAATAACACCCAATTACACCATTCCTGAGTTGAGGAAGAAATAAAAAGTGAAATTAAAGACTTCCTAGAATTTAATGAGAATGTAGACACAACATACCCAAACTTATGGGACACTCTGAAAGCAGTGCTAAGAGGAGAAAGTTCATAGCACTAAGTGCCCACATGAAGAAACTGGAGACAGAACAATTGAAAACTTTAGAGCAAAAAGAAGCAAACTCACAACAGAGGAGTAGAAGCCAGGAAATAATCAAACTGAGGGTTGAAATTAATAAAGTAGAAACTAGAAAAACATTACAAAGAATCAATGAAACAAAGAGTTGGTTCTTTGAGAAGATCAACAAGATAGACAAACCTCTATCCAAAATAACCAATAGGCAGAGAGACAGCATGCTGATTAACAAAATCAGAAACGAAAAGGGGGGGATATAATAACGGACATTGAGGAAATCCAGAGAATCTTCAGGTCATACTTTGAAAACCTGTACTCCACAAAAGTCGAAAATCTAAAGGAAATGGACAGTTTCCTGGATAGATATCACTTACCAAAAGTAAACCAAGAACAGATAAGCAGTTTAAATCGACCTATAACCCCTAATGAAATAGAAGCAGTCATCAAAAGCCCAGGGCCAGATGGCTTCACTGCAGAATTCTACCAGAAATTCAAACAAGAGCTAATACCAG